TCATCATCTAAGTCACAACAATAGACAATCACAGTCTGTTTAAACTAATAACACACAAAGAATTAAATGTTGCCATGTTTTTATTGAACACACCATGTAAACATTCACAGTGCAGGTGGAAAAAGTATGTGAACCCCTAGACTACTGACATCTCCAAGAGCTAATTGGAGTGAGATGTCAGCCAACTGGAGTCCAATCAATGAGATGAGATTGGAGGTGTTGGTTACAGCTGCTCTGTCCTATAAAAAACACACACCAGTTCAGGGTTTGCTTTTCACAGGAAGCATTGCCTGATGTGAATGATGCCTCGCACAAAAGAGCTCTCAGAAGACCTACGATTAAGAATTGTTTACTTGCATAAAGCTGGAAAGGGTTATAAAAGTATCTCCAAAAGCCTTGCTGTTCATCAGTCCACGGTAAGACAAATTGTCTATAAATGGAGAAAGTTCAGCACTGCTGCTACTCTCCCTAGGAGTGGCAGTCCTGTAAAGATGACTGCAAGAGCACAGCGCAGACTGCTCAATGAGGTGAAGAAGAATCCTACAGTGCCAGCAAAAGACTTACAAAAGTCACTGGCAAATGCTAACATCCCTGTTAGCAAATCTACAATACGTAAAACACTAAACAAGAATGGATTTCATGGGAGGATACCACAGAGGAAGCCACTGCTGTCCAAACAAAACATTGCTGCACGTTTACAGTTTGCACAAGAGCACCTGGATGTTCCACACCAGTACTGGCAAAATATTCTGTGGACAGATTATACCAAAGATGAGTTGTTTGGAAGAAACCCACAACACTATGTGTGGCGAAAAAAAGGCACAGCACACCAACATCAAAACCTCATCCCAACTGTGAAGTATGGTGGTGGGGGCATCATGCTTTGGGGCTGCTTTGCTGCGTCAGGGCCTGGACGGATTGCTATCATCGAAGGAAAAATGAATTCCCAAGTTTATCAAGACATTTTGCAGGAGAACTTAAGGCCATCTGTTTACCAGCTGAAGCTCAACAGAAGATGGGTGTTGCAACAGGACAATGACCCAAAGCATAGAAGTAAATCAACAACAGAATGGCTTAAACAGAAGAAAATACGCCTTCTGAAGTGGCCCAATCAGAGTCCTGACCTCAACCCGATTGAGATGCTGTGGCATGACCTCAAGAAAGCGATTCACACCAGACATCCCAAGAATATTGCTGAACTGAAACAGTTCTGTAAAGAAGAATGGTCAAGAATTACTCCTGACCGTTGTGCACGTCTGATCTGCAACTACAGGAAACGTTTGGTTGAAGTTATTGCTGCCAAAGGAGGTTCAACCAGTTATTAAATCCAAGGGTTCACATACTTTTTCCACCTGCACTGTGAATGTTTACATGGTGTTTTCAATAAAAACAGGGCAACATTTAATTCTTTGTGTGTTATTAGGTACACACAGACACACAACTACACTCATATACACACATACACTCAAAGACACATACACACACACACACAGACACAAATTCAGACACATGCACTCACAGACACACATTGGAATGCTGGGATGTATGCATTGCCACATACACACAGATGCACACTTACATAAATCTGTGTGAGATACACACAGGAACACAGACAAAATGATGCAGTGGTGTATTTGTGTGCAATGTTGTTGGAATGCAGGGGTGTATTTGTGTGCAGTGTTGGCATTGGAATGCTGGGATGAATGCATTGCCACACGCATAGACACACACACACACACATATATATATATATATATATATATATACTCAAAACATCTTTAGCTTAATGGAGCAGTTATGGTATATAGATCATGCCCCCGCAGTCTCACTGGTAGAGTTATTTATTTACTAAAATGTGAGAATTTTTGGGAATTCAACATGAAAAAGGTACATTTAAAATTTAAGGCCAAAATCGCTAAATTAAAAAAACACTCTCAGACACACACACACACAAATTATTCATATTTTTAAAATTATCCACCCAGCCTATCTACCTGGAGAGCTGGTGTAGATCTGTCCCTGGGGTCCAGTGGGGCAGGCGGCTGTGTTCCTGGCAGAGACGGCGAGGGAGCTGTGTTCTCCCTACTCTGCTCCCTCACGGCGCATGGGCTGTCTATTGATCCTGGGAGCCGGTATATGACATCATATTACGGCTCCCGGCATCAGCAAACGGCATGCGAGGGAGCAGAACAGGGAGAACACAGCTCACTCGCCGTCTCTGCCAGGAACACAGCCGCCTGCCGGGGGGGTCCATCAGATGGCCAGCAGGCCAGTAGGTATGCCACTCCTGCTACGTCTATACACTGTCAGCATTAGTTTCTCAGGGGCCAGTTTAAACAGCTCTAAGGTGACTCTGGGAGGATGCTTCCTGTGAGGAGACCCTGCAGGCTCCCTTATAATAAAGGACCCATTGTGATGCGGCCAGCCAATGCAGTCCTGTTCAGGGAGATAAATCTATCTCCCCAACTAGACCCTCTACAGGGTTCCATGCAGGCCCCTGAACTGTCTGTACAGTGGCCCTAATTCCCTCTGTATATATGACAGCTTTTTGTTCTGTTACGAGGTCAAATTAAATATCTGCCCATTTCAGTCTTAAAACTTTTTAATTTTAATAGATTGATTTTCTGGACCTATTTCTTACTTTGGGGTATTTTAGTAGCACATCAAATCAAATAATACACAAACGTATAGAGTATCAACATATTCCACAGAGCTGCACAATTGGGGAGAAAGCCAATAGAATAAACACGAACCAGTACAAAAAGTAAAATACCCTACTGCTGAGCTGAGATCTAGGCTTTAAAGTCTTTTAAACAGAGTACATAGCTAGATAGACCACAAGCTTACAACCTAAAGCTACATTTTGAATCAAGAGGTAGCACCTGGAATATGGAGGCGATGATAATGAGAATTAAAGGTTATAAGCAGCCACTGGGACTGAGGTGGCAAACTGAGTGAGCTAGAAAAGCCTTCTATAACATTAAAAGAAACCATGATCTTTGTACTTGTAGAGCCTTGTTTCAATTCTCACCTTAGTGAGTAAACCTCTAGGTGTTTGTTATCATTTATCTTCTGTAGTTTTGGTTTTTGTGAAGCACTGCAAAATGTTTTCGCACAATACAATTTATTGTGGGTATTTTTCAAAGAAGTTCATTAAAAAAATCATACCTTGCAAAATTCACCACATTTCACTGCTCTGGAGCTGATATACATAGGAATTCCATGTTAACCCATGCCACAAACATTGTAAATTGGTAAAGGGGTATGCTGTGTAGACAATATGGAATAATTTAGCCTATTTATAGATATTTATTTCATTACATTAACTGAAAAAAAAAACATATTTTTGTTTTAAAAACCAACATAGATGAAGTAAGTGATATTTGTTGCAAACAGACTTCCTTCTTAAACCGATTCTTCCGTGTTCTTCAGAATCTCAAATGCGCTTTAATCTGAGACATAACACATTTATGTACAGTAAATATAAATATATTAGCAAATAAAAATGTGTCTTCTTAGATGTTCCATCTTGGCAAAAGAGTATGTTTTCCCATGTATTATATGCCCACTTGGTATAAATGTTCCAAATGACTGATTTTAGAGAAACTTAAGTTTCCTCAAGGTAGATCCCCAGCTGTAAATGCAAAACTACAAATTCCTGGATACTTTGACAGCTTTTAAAATGGAGAAGTCATCATGCAATGTGTCATGCTAAAAGTAACTATGTATGTGTACATACTTTCTCTGTCCTTTTATAATAATACTACCTAAATGGCAATCTGACATGGATGCTAGCTCTATAACCTTAGGAGGTGACTAAGATGATTATCAGGAAGTAATTTCCCAGACCAACCTGTTTATTTATTGTTCAATGGTTATGATGCCACGAGTATCCTGACCCCTTCCCCGGTAATGTGGCAAACCATTTAGCAACGGTTTGCCCTCTTACTTGGGCCTCACCTGGCAGCCAGATCACGACCCTGCCTAGTATCCATTTGCTGAGAGTGTCAGCTGACCACTCTCAGCCAACGATTGCAATTCTGTAAGTGGAAAGTTGCACAGAATTGAAATTAGACAGTCAACGCTAGTTCCGGGCTGGCTCATGACACCACAGTAATGATGCTAGAGGTGGAATTACACCTTCGACAGCATAGGGGGAATCTCTGTAGGTGCAGCGAAAAGCTGCTTATACATGGTCAAGTTCAGGCACTATGACCACTTCAGATCACTAAAATGGTTATTTTTGCCTGGAGAAACCTTTCAAAGGTTAAAGATTGCCGCCACCACCACAAGGGCAAGCCAAAAGTAATACCTTCTATGCACACATTACTAAATAACGCACAGGAAGGGCTAATTTATATACAATCTTGTATTTTAAAGTATAATTAAAAAAAGGCAATTTTTCCTAGAACTTTTTCTGCAGGAAGCTCAAATCACCTGCTTAGCAAGAAGCATGTCTCCCCATTCTTCAGTTCTATAATGAGTTATTTTCCAAGAGTAAGATAACTGTGACATTTAAACATACGTTGCAAATAACTTTAATTGGAGTCTTCCCTTATCAAAGGGGACTTTGCTCCACTTGAAATAAAAAGGTAATTCTGCTCCAATAAACAATTTATTGACCAATTTCTGCCTGATTCACATGACGTCTCCTCCTACTACAGTTACATGGGAAGGGAGAGGGGGTTGGGGGGGGGTTATTAGAATTATTGATTTAACCCTTAAAATGCAATACTCCCACCCAGCACTGTATGAGCATACAGGGAGCAAGTTCCACCCCCATCAATAGCTCTGCAGTTAGGGTTATGGCTGGGCTCTATGGGGAGGAAGAGTTGCACAGACTGAGTGTGTATGTGGGCGTGGTCTCCAATTAAAGGCGGGGCTTCCAGGCTCAGGTTCTGCTTCTTTGCTGCGGTATGGGCGTCTCGAAGGGGGCGGAGTCAAGGGCTCTCTCAGGGATTTGAAAGGTTCCTTTTGCGGAGATGTTACTTGGTGGGCGGGGCCTATCGCGGAGTGGGCGGGGTTCCGTGGCTGGTGCTGTGTGTAGCCTGCCCGGGTTGTGACAGCTGGTTATTGCCGTGTGGTCCGGAGCCGGGATGGGGAGACTTAGCGGAGCCCTGCGCTGTGTCAAGTACCTGCTGCTCACCTTTAACCTCGTCTTCCTGGTAAGAGCAGCCTGGGCTGGCAGGGGGTCACTGGGGGCTCAGTGGACAAGAAGTGACAGGGGAGTCAATGTACCCTACCAAAGAATATACATTATATCAGTGACAGTAGTTCTGTGTAAATTAAACTCCTATATCTAATGCATGGATCGTCAGTGGGTAGATTCCCTGCAGTTATAACACTAAAGCTGGCAAAGCATCACGGGAGTTGTAGTTCAACAGCAGCTGGTGAGCTACATTTTGGACACCTGTGATCTAATTTCTGTCACTATTTGGAAAGTAAAGGGGAAGTGAGGAGAGTGAGATGGGGGGGAGAGGGAGAGATGGGTTATTAGTAGAATGGGAGAGTGTGATTGATTGTGAGGGTAAATAAAGGGGGTGAAAACATGTGGAATGGAAGAGATTTAATTGGAATGATAAAAGGAGGAGAGAAGATTAGTAGACTAGGTGGTGGTTTGTGTTGTGCCATGTATTTATGTTTAGGGGTAAATAATGGTACGGAGTGTGAAAATGTGACAAAATCTGTGCCTAGGGCAGATAAAGTGAGAGATGGAGAGAAGGCTGACAGTTTATTGAAGGGAAAGGGAAGAATTAGAAGAGAATGTCTGGTACCTATCAGGAGAGGATGAGCATGAGAAGATGTAGAGATGAAAGTGATAATAAAGGGGATGAAAATACGATCTGGCTTATTCATTAAAGTGAAATTTCTGACTATTGAGGTATTAATGAATAGCCCTGTGTTTGGTGAATTAAACAAGATAAAGATTTGGCATGGTGAAGTAATCCCTGGCTTCAATAAAATGGGGTTTCAATAAGTGGCTTCAATAAAGATGGGGCCTGGAGAAGGTGTTAGGACTAATGTGTAGTTATAATGGATGAGCAGATAATTGGGTAAGGACAGGGAGACAGAAAACATTGTGTTAAGGCATAGACAGAGCTATGGTTAATGGTGGAGGAAGGATAAAGGGAAAGGTGAGAACAAGCTATATGGAAAGACAAAAGAGAGGTGTGCAGTTGGATGATAGGAAAACGTAGGCAAATAAATAAATGATGGAAGTTACAGGGCAACTACCCAGCAAATCAGGACAAACTGTGAAATGATACAGGAAACTATCAAACATAAGATGAGGTAATGGGAAGTAGAAGGAAACTGAATAGTCCACCTGGATAGTGATTACAAATAAACTGACTAAATGTGGCATTGGAGGGCAGAGTAATAATGTTCTAAAGAAGGCTACAGTAAGGATGTGTGCAGGGAATTAAAGTAATAAGCAGTTCTCTTACAAGGTTTCAAAGTATGCAGCGATATGTTATGGTGACAACAGGCGCACAATACGGTAAACAGAGTTTCGGCATACAGTTGTAATAAAAAATATTAAATTCCCATTGAAAATCAGGTTAATTGTAAACATTTACAGCTATTTGCAATTAACAAATCAAACAAAAGCAATGGAAATAGCTCATCGCAACCAATGATTCAAGTTGTTTCCTCAAATTCAACTGAAAATGCTACTTAGATTAACTTTTCCAGTCTCAAAATTATTCAACCCCTTCACGGCGAACATCCGTAGTACTTAGTAGAGGACATAAACCTTAGTAGAGCAAATAAACCTGCCAAAGGATAACAATAGATGGAGTGAATACAGCAGGAAACAAATTATAAAAAGAGGTAATGGGTTGTTCATTAAAATGAGAATTGCTTGGAAATCATTCAAATTTTTCTAAATTGGTTATCTGGCCTAAATTGTGAAAATCACTTAGAATTCCTGATAATTCTCACTTCAGTAGATTACCCAGTGAGGGTGTAGCAAAAGGATGGTGTCAGATTATTATTTATGTGATTAGATCAGTTTTGTGTAAGAGTCTTTTTTTTTTTTCAATTGAAAATATCACCATCAACTAATTGATGTTTGTGCAACAGGTTTCACTACCAGAATACAGATAAGAGGCATGATAGAATGTTAAAATTTGCAGTCACAATTATGTTAAATGATTTTACAGTTAAGAAAAAAATAGACTCATGTAAATAGGCAGCTTGGTTTAACCACATAAGGTTGTATTGGAATGTAAATGTCATCATAATAACCTCCCTATAAGGATAAGTGGATAAGCAGAGACTGGGGAATAGGAGGGGCAGAGGACAGCTGAGGTCAGAGGGGAATCCCTGGGCAAGTGGAGTGAAAATAACAGGCCAGTGTCTTGGACAAGGATGAAAATAGCATGAAGTGTCATGATAATGTATCTGTAAACATGGGATAAATATACAAACAATAAACAGATATGAGAGAGAGAGATATATAATAGGACGTGGGAAAACATACAGAGGCGCAACCGGGAGTGAAAATAAGGATACAGGTTGAACTATACAGACAATAACTATTATCCCATTGTACAGCGCTGCGGAATTTGTTTGCGCTTTATAAATAATAATAATAATTATTATGTTTTTATGTTGTCAAAAAAATTTTTGAAGGAAATGTGAAGACTGACCAAACACTTTGATACCTTAACAAGACTTTAGTGCTACGGGGTAAAATAATCTTAATTAACCGAAATAAGAAAACATTATTTTAATATAGGAAAAATTTGATTATTATTTGTTATTCATGTCCCCCTCTCCGCCCCCATGGCATAATATATGAGTTGTGGGTGTATTTATTGGTGAGTTTGGACATAGACAAAATAGGCTATCAGCAATATATGTTCAAAAGATCATAGATCATTTCCATTGACTGATAAGTAAAAAAAAACAAAAAAAACTGGTAAGACGTGGGTGGAGGTGAGGTGTTTGTGTGAAACAAGGCTTGTTATCTCATTTCCTCCATAGCTTCCAGATTGCATTAAACTTGTCCAATTTACCCAACATCTTGTAAGTGAGGAATTCATATGTTCTGTTGCTGTTTATAGTGGAGAGGAGGGGCGGGTAGATGTGTGTATACCCGTGCAATGTGTCAGTTTATGTTCTGTAGATTGTTAGCTCATTTGGTCACGGTCCTCTTCACCTCGTCTTCCCATGTGCGCTGGCTCGCTTTAGTTCCATGGTGACCCATATCTGTGGACACCAGGGAAATGATGGCCCTCTGCAGTAATGTGCGGGTCCATCGTTAGATGCGCTCACACTGTGCATTGGGCACTAGATTACTGCTGAGAACGCTTCAGTAGCGCTCCCTGCATGGTCCTAAAGTCTGAGGAATTATAGGCCTAGCTAGTGAGGCATGTGGTGTCATTAGAAACGCCCCCTCAAGGCAACACCCACCCCATCGTGATTCCCCAGACCAGATTGTTGGGAGGTATGTAAATGTTTCATACAAGGTCTTGTTTATCATTTGTAAAGTGCTGTGCTATACAAATAATTATTAGTGTAATTGTCAGCGTCATGAGGGCCATGTTGTGCAATGGATGGAGGGCTACATTCATCTATATAGCTACCTTTCACTCAATAATCACTTCCATTAATCTTTTTCTTTAGCAGCCTAACCCCAGTGTTCTCTCCTAGTGCCTCCCTTCTCTCAATTCTCATGTCTATTGCCCCTCTCTTATTCAGTAATATCCCCAAGTGCCACTGTTCTCTCAGTTCTCACTTCCATTGCCCCACTTCTTTAACAGTGTTCATCTGTTGTTTCCTTCCTGTCCCCTAAATATGTGACCTGAACTGAAAATTCTCCTGCTCAGCTATGCTACAACAATTTTATTTTGACTCATAAATTTGTATGTATGCGTGTATGGTGTATGCTGGCTATATGTAATGTGTGTATGGTGTGTGCTGGCTGTATATAGTGTGTGTCTGTGGTGTGTGCTGGGTGTATGTAGTGTGTGGTGCTAATTTTGGTGGATTTTTCTGGATTACTGGTGGTACTGTGGAGGAGGGTCAGATGACTCTGGTGGTCTAGCAATGGCCCAGGATCTCAGGGGACCTGTTGGGGAGCTTGAGGGACAGAGCTCCGTCTGACATCAAGGGAGCCCTGCCATCTGACGTCACGTGAGCCATGTTTGATGTCAGTGTGGAAAGAACGGCAGATAAGATCTTTGTCTTGCAGGCAGGAGAAGCAGTTATGTTTGTCAGCATGGCAATGCGCACCAACAACATATGTAAATTAGGAACTGAACAGACAGGCAGCCCAGAGCAAATTAAGGAGTATTCCACTTCCCAAACACACACAAAAGCATTACTGTTTAATAAATATGTCCTTTGAAAACATGCATGGATTTAATTATGTATTTTTTCATTGGTTTATATCTAAAACTGCTTACTAATCTGTGGATCTCTTGTCTGAAGCATTTGCAAGCACTCCCCTTTTTCCCAGCACAAACTTTCTGTGTCTGTCCAATCACAGACTTTCCGATGCAGCTCAATGAGAAATCTTTGCAAGGCAGGTGCTCTGGGCAATTGCTGCCTCTTGAGTTTAGCTCCACTTGGGTAAACTAATAGGAAGTAACAGAACCAGTTGTTTGGTTCATAGCCAGCAGGTGTAACACGGTTAATATGTAAAGGTGCCAATTTTAATGTGCACTTTTTGTAAAATGAAAAAAAGAGGACACACTGTTCACAAATAAAAACCTCCAGCAAGTTGAAGTGTTTTAGCGGCCTGGAGAGTTCCTTTAAAGGACCACTATAGGCACCCAGACCACTTCAGCTTAATGAAGTGGTCTGGGTGCCAGGTCCAGCTAGGATTAACCCTTTTTTTTTTATGTACATAGCAGTTTCAGAGAAACTGCTATGTTTATGTTAGGGTTAATCCAGCTTCCAGTGGCTGTCTCTTGACAGCCGCTAGAGGCGCTTGCGTGCTTCTCACTGTGAAAATCATAGTGAGAAGACGCCAGCGTCCATAGGAAAGCATTGTGAATGCTTTCCTATGGACTGGCTGAATGCGCGCGCAGCTCCTGCCGCGCATGCGCATTCAGCCGAAGAGGAGGAGAAGAGGGAGGAGAGGAGGCGGAGAGCTCCCTGCCCGGCGCTGGAGAAAGAGGTACCTTTAACCCCTTCCTCTCCCCAGAGCCCGGCGAGAGGGGGTCCCTGAGGGTGGGGGCACCCTCAGGGCACTATAGTGCCAGGAAAACGAGTATGTTTTCCTGGCACTATAGTGGTCCTTTAACAGAAATTGATAGGACCCTTTTTTTTCCTGAATGCTTAATCTGTGTTGTGACAGGTTTTATGTTTTCTACACTGCTGCAGAAAGTATTGGGACGTGACGGAAATATGTTTAATACTTACCAATTTGGCACACCACATTCTGGTTAACACTTCATTAGCATTTAAATGGGTGAAAAAAAAGAGGAACTGTCACTAACTCAACAGTGACAGTTCCTCTTGTGTTGTAGCAAAACCAAATAGCAAACTATCTATGTGTCATTAATATGATATTGTACCCGCTGTTATTCCCAGCAATATAATATATTCAAGTAATAGTAACACAATAATTAAAGAGAGCCTCGAAACACTACAACAAATTTAGCTTAATATAGCAGTTTTATAATACAGATCATGCCCCTGCAGTCTGCTCAGTTCTATGACATTTAGGAGTTATCGTCAATGTATCAGATCCAACATTATTTACTAAAGTTTGAATTATTAGAATTCAAAGTGAATTTTAAATTTTAACTCAAAATAGACAAACTGGAAATATAGCTGACTATGAATGTTTACAGTTGCCTATTCAGGTGCATTTACTTCAGTGAGAATTCAAAGTAAATTTTAAACTTAAATGAACACTTTAGTGTCAGGAACACAAACACGTATTCCTGACACTAGAGTGGTAAAATAACAGTTTAAGTTCCCGGCCCCCCTCTATCTACTTTAAAAAGGTATTTTTACTCACCTATTTCCAGTGCTGTGCTAGTCCCGCCGCGTCTGGTACTGACCTGCTCCAAATATGACAATCTCAGTCAATCCAATGCTTTCCCAAAGGAAAAAATTGGGAGGCTATTGGACATGTGCGGCAAAACTCTATACTGTGCAATTAGCACCTCCTTATAGGGATGTATTGAAACAATGCACCTCTATGGGGAGCATTCAGCATATCCATGCAGACACTGAATGCCAGTTCTGCACACTGTGCAACATTGACCCAGGAAGCACCTCTAGTAGCCTTCTGAGTGATTGCCACTAGAGGTGTTACAAGGCTGTAATGCAAACATTGTCTTCTCTCTGAAAACACCAGGCAGTGTTTACATTAAAAAAGCTTGCAGGGACAGGCAATAGATACCATAAAAACTACATTAAGCTCTAACTGTAGTTAAGGCCAAAGTATCCAAAGGGAAAGTATAGCTGATTTAGAGGATTATTCTTGTTTGGCTGTTGACTTTAAAGCGGTAATAGGCACCCAAACCATTTCATCTCATTGAAGTGATCTGGGTGTCATGTCCCTGACATTTTATCCCTGCAACTTAAAAAAAAAAAATAAGTTTTGCAGAAAGAGCAATGTTTACATTGTGTGGTTAAAATGATTCTAGTGGCTGTCACACTGAAAGCTGCTAGAGGAATTTCCACTGATATAGCCATATTAAACTTGACTGTTTCAGTCAGATGATCTCCTAAAGACCATTTAAATGGGGCAGCATTTTGCTCACTATCCTCTCAATGCTTTCCTATGGGGAGGCATTTGATTGGCTAAGATCATAAAGATTGATGATCTCTGCTAACGAGGCAAGGTATGCTTTAAGGAGAGCAAAGTGGAAAGGGAGAATTGCTAAGTAAATAAACTTTTTTTAATTCTTAACCGAGGGGGTGGGGAGAACTGCCTAAACAGCGAGCAGATCACTATAATGTTAGGAATACATGTTTGTATTTCTAACAATGTATTGTTCCTTTATTATTGTTGATATTATTATTGCCATTTATATAGCACCAACTTATTCTGCAGCGCTTTACAATTTTGTAAATTTGAACATCACATTGAAATTGCTTTGAATTATAACTTTAGTAAATAAACCAGTATTTTGTATTATATTTTGTTAAAGGAACACACAAACTTTAAAGGAACACTATAGGGTCAGGAACACAAACATATGTTCCTGACCCTATAGTGTTAAAACTACTATCTAGCCTCCTCCCTTGCCTCCCTAAATATAGTAAAATCTTACTTGTATTTAAGTCTGCAGATACTGCCTCTGCCCCTGTCTGCCTCTGAGCTGCTTGCTGTCTGCTGACATAATCAGAAATGGTGGTCTGAGCCAATCACAATGCTTCCCCATAGGATTGGCAAGACTGTCAAAGAGGCAGATCAGGGGCAAAGCAAGCACCTGTCAAACACAACCCTGGCCAATCAGAAGCTCCTCATAGAGATCCATTGAATCAATGCATCTCTATGAGAAAAGTTCAGTGTCTGCATGCAGAGGGTGGAGACATTGAATGGCAGTACTGCATCACTACCCAAGGAAGCACCTCTAGCAGCTATCTGAGGAGTGACCAGTGGAGTTATCACTAGGCTGTAATGTAAACACTGTATTTTCTCTGAGAAGACAGTGTTTACTGCAGAAACCCTGAAGGAAATGATTCTACTCTCCAGTAAGCTGTAGTTGTTCTGGTGACAATTGTATCCCTTAAAAAAAATTTTTAAAATACCCCCATTCTAATTAAAACCAGATGTAAAAATGAAAATACATTAACTCTAATCCAGAGCAGACCCAGACTCCTTGCAGCAGTTGCTCAACCTCTTCTGAGATCATTGATACTGATGACCTTGGCCCAATCTAATGCTTCCATAGAGACCTATGGTGTGACGGTTGTCATGCGTTTTACTGAATCCACGGAGAAGTATTGCTTTTGGCATAATCATGCACATCTCAGTGAACGTGAAAGAAATATGAAAATGAAAGTCCTTCACTGAGGAAGTTCCTCAAATCGTGTCTGGCAATCTAACAGCCACTAGAAGCATAATTAAGGCAAAATGTAAACACTGTTGTTTTTAATGAACAGCGATGTTTCAGATTGTCAGCAAAAAAAATTGACAAGGTTTTAGGACCAAATCCAGTTCATTATGCTGAAGTGGTTAAGATGCGTAAAGTGTCCCATTGTGAGTTTTGCAAAAATAATATAGAACAATCAAAATAAACAGGATAGCATACTCATTGAATACATGACTTTCTGTGTTCAAATTGGGTATTCATATCACCAATGCTATAAGCCTTCCATTGCCTCTTTCCCCATATAGCAGAATGCATCAACTGTGGTAGCTAGAGATTGTAAAACGAACTGTCAGTTTGGAGATATTAGCACATTCTACAAACTAGCTCTTGCTAGCCAGCTATTTGTTCTGCTTTTTTGTGTTTCTGCTATTATTTCCACTGATTTGCAGGCATAGCCTGGCATTCTATGCAAATTAATATGCATTGTGCACATACTGCTTCATGGGAAGAAGTTGTCAGTGCTGATCCTTGAAAGTTATTGTGTTAATATTTACACGTGGTGCTTACTTTACCACAATAAACATTTCCTTTAATCGGCTGTTGACATCACCAGGTAACTTTTTTTCAAAAGCTGAAACTGAGGGTGTAGCATATGTACATATTTTAGCCATATTTACTAGAATTCATAAAGGCCTGACCGGTCTGAAAAATATAGTAACTCATCTGTCTTGCTCCACACTAGGAAATTGCACACATTTGTATGAGGCATATGTAGTGTTAATTAAAAAAGAGTTATCATAATACTAATTTCTCACACATCACAAGTCTGGCAAAAACTTTATATAAGGGGAAATTATTGAAATGTAATTTGACAAATGTTTCCATCGTACATTGAGGCTAGGGTTACATTTATTTTTTATTTTCTATGATTATAAATAGATGTATATTTACAAATGAAATGTATGCTTTTATCTTCTCTGACATGTATCATGTTGCTACTTTATTGTATATTACCATGTAATATTTATAAGCCCTGTGCATTGATATATGTCAAGACGTGTTGTCAGAAAATTCCATATCACATTATACATAATTTAGCAATTTAACCACAATGTTACAAACCAGTAAGAGATAAAATGGATAGCGTGCGTAATACAGTGGATTTGAAGAGCTCAAATATATAAGCCTACGCACCAATCAGACGGGGACCGTACAGTTTCCTTATATTTGTGCAACATGTTCTAATACTAGTAAGGTTCATATGGAAACTACGTGATTTATTTAATAAAGAATGATTTGTGTCAACTGAGTTGTAAAAATAGAGGCTAAAATAACAAGTCGATTTTCAGCTCAATGTTTATTAAATATAAAAAGGTTGTCCGCATAGTACAATTTCAGTGTGTGCATGCCTAATTCAGTGGCTTGCGTGTGTGGAGTGCTTTTAAGTATGAACGCAGACATGTGTTTTTGTGAAGGGTCAATGTTAGTATGTGTATAATACAGGGGTGTATCCGTATGGAGTGCTATTGAATGTGATTGTTGAGTTGTGTGTGTGTGTGTGTGTGTGAAATTCATGTACAGGGTTAGAGCCTACATGTGACTACAGTGTGGTTATTTAGATGGGCTTAATTTTTGCCACAGTCTGGTCCTGCTAAGACTCAACCAACCACAGGCGTGTGCATGTGGTTTACCAAGTGTATGCAAGCACACCATAATGCAGGACTTAATTGTCCATTCTGTCACCCACACTGTCCCCATCAAAAGTTTGTGTGTTTTCAGTGTCTATGTGATAGTGAGTTATACATTTAATCTGTATCAAATTTTATATTTGACGAAAATCAATTAAAACAAATTGTAATAAAGCTTGTATTCAATTTAGTATTTAATATATTTTAATTTAATATTATCAGCATTGTGTTGGAAATATAAAAAAAAAATGTTTAGGTAAGTTCTAGCTCATTTGATAAATAAAAATGACACTTATGATGGTTGCATATTCATGTCTAAGGATTCACCAATATTAGGGTTACTTTGATATGGTGGCCGGCCTAATACACAATGGCCATATGATGTGACTTTTTCCTATTTGGAGATGATTTTAAGTCAAATTGAAATATCTGAAACAGTAAATAATGTTGTGTGTACCTTATTTGTGTATGGGACATAAAGTCAAACTTGTCCCATGTGTTCTACTTTGCAAATTTTAATAAAGAATCCTCAGCATCTTTTAGTAATATTCTGTATGTGGGGCAACTTGTAGTAATGTTGTGCCTGCTTCTAACTTAAAGGAGCACTATAGTGACTGGAAAACAAACTTGTTTTCCTGGCACTATAGGATTTTTAGGTCCCCTTCCATTATGCCTCCCCCTCCCACTGGGCTGAATGGGTAAAAACACCTTCAGCCACTTACCTTAATCCAGCGCCAGGCCCTCTCGGTGCTGGTGACCTTTCCTCCTCCTGTCGATGTCAGCTCCGGAGTGGAGCCGAATGCGCATGCATGTCCAGAGACACGCACATGCATGTCCGGAGACACGCGCACATTCAAACCGCCCATAGGAAAGCATTACTCAATGCCTTTCTATGGGGATCTGAACTCACCCTGCGTGAGTTCAATGAGATTTTCACAGTGAGAATCTTGGAAGCGCCTCTAGTGGCTGTCAGTGAGACAGATGCCAGAGGCTGGATTAACCCTGTAGTGCAAACATAGCAGTTTCTCTGAAACTGCTATGTTGATAGCTTCAGGGTTAAAACTAGAGGGACCTGGCACCCAGACCACTTTTTTGAGCTGAAGTGGTCTGGGTACCTATAGTGGTCCTTTAAGCTTCCACTGGTGAGATCCATCTGAAATGTCTGTGAAAATATATTACCTTGTAAAGGCACAAGGGACCTTAATGCATTTGAGATGTCATGTAATGGGCACCATACCATAGGGAATCATAAGACACTTTGTTTACTCTAGACTGAGCTTTTGAAACATGGTAATTTTCTCAATTTATCAAAAGGCTGGGAATTATATGACTCTCTGAATGCTAGGGTTTTAAAGGGGAAGTTAGATGAAGATGTGGGGACACTGGACTAATTTTGACAGTTATCGAGGAGCTACTCTGCAAAATATAGATGCATTAATTTATTATACAGTTATTTAGAGCTATCTTGCTAATGCTATCCATTGATTACTGTTGGGTTTAATATTCATTCAACTCTGAATTGTAGCGAAGTGAAAACTGAATTGCAAGATTTAGGCTAATATAGCTGAGCTGTGACTGTAGATGAGTTGTTGTTATTATTATAATGATTAATATTTTATTATTTATATAGCACCAGCAAATTCCGTAGCACTGTACAATGGGTGGACTAACAGACACGTAATTGTAATCAGACAAGTTGGATGCACAGGAACAGAGGGGTTGAGGGCCCTGCTCAATGAGCTTACATGCTAGAGGGAGTGGGGTATAGTGACACAAAGGGTATAAGTAGGGGTAATGAAATAGGTTGCTAGAAAAGTATTCACTGAGAACCTAGGTTATTTTTGACAGTTGCAGGAGAGGAGTCAAGGGGGGGGAGATGAAAACCCGCTAACAGTTTAAATAAAGACTTGCCTTAAGAAGTGTGTTTTCAAAGAATTTTTGAAGGAGTGGAGACTGGGTGAAAATCTAACAGAGAAGGGAGTTTCACAGAAAACGTGCGGCCCTGGAGAAGTCTTGGAGGCGAGCATCAGATGTGGGAGTACAGACAGAGGATATATGTAGGTCTTTGGCAGAGCGCAGAGGCCTCGACGGGACATACTTGTGTATTAGGGAGGATAGGTAGGTTGGAGCAGCATTATGTAGGGACTTGTAAGCAAGCACCAGAATCTTAAATTAAGGATTATATCTAACTTGGAGCCAATGTAGGGACTGACAGAGACGGGAGCCATGGGAGATGTGGGCGGGCAGGAAAATGAGCCTTGCCACCGTATTCATTATAGATAGCGGTGCAATTTGGGAACACGAGGGCGGGGCCGCCGACCTGAGCAGCAGCCATCTCCCGTGGCTCCGGGCTCGAGCCTCTGCAAAGGGCACATTTGAAGATCATTAACCAAGTCTGAACTCACTGATTCGGGTGGGGGAACACCTAAGCTTCCTTAAGATACCTGCACCACCGCTGGGTGCACCGGATGAGGGAGCCACACTACTCTTGGGCCTACCCAGGCACATGGCCCTGATGCCTGAGCCTGCTACTAGCGTTCCTGGAAGGGCTGATCGCATCCACACTGCCATGAAAAGCAGCAATATGTGCACCGGGGAATGAGTGGAGGCCTGACCCCATTCCCCCCCTTGGTCAGTAGTGGTGCTCCATGCCCTTGCTATAATGCTTTGGACTGAGATGCAGTTAGAGATGATGACACATCCACGAGGGGGTCCCTCCCCAGCTGTCCTGCTCTAAGTGCCACACACATACTCACACATTTGCCTGGGGAAAAGAAGATGGATACATACCCGCAGTGAAGAGCTGCCGAATGCTGAAGTGGTGCCCTTAGGGGTGGCTGTCCTGCTGCAGGGCCCAGGGGCTGCCTGGCCTTTGGGATAGTGGAGGCCTCGCTCTCCTGGTTCGAGATGTGGCCTTGAGTGAATAGTCCCCGGTTCTGAAAGTCCTGTGGGGCCGGTCTGCATGATCCTTCGAAGTACCGGTGACTGGAGGTGAAGCATGCCTGCAACAAGTGTGTGTGGCCGGAGCTGGGTGAAACTTGAGGCAATTCGCGCCTGGTAGGAGCTAAAGTGGCACAGGGGAGGTGCAGGAGCTGAGCAGTCTGCGGATTCTTGGTTGTGGGGGTCCAGTAGACTGTGACGAACTGAGTGCCTACAGTGCCATGGACTGCACTGACATAGGGCGGGTACTGCTGGAGTTTCAGTCCCCTGGGGGGCATTGGGCTTGCTGCAGAGGAAGAAAAGTAGAAGATCTACAGTTGTGTCCTGCAGCTAAGATGTGCCTTGGCTTGGGGGGGAGGAGACTTTGGTGGGCAATAGAATGAGGGAATTGAAATGTGCTGTTTGATTTAAAAAATTTTTTTCCTAATGTCTGGCCAAACGTGCCTGGTTCAAGATCCTTTTAGGGCATAGTCCCGTAGATGCTCAAGCATGGATCCTCACATAATGGGCTTAATTCCTTTTATTGTAACCTCTCTATGATGAGGAGTTGACACCAACCATTCCCTTCCCCCCCCCCTTTTTTTTCTTTTCTTTTACTTTTCTGTTTATTTTTTTTATAGGGTTGTGTTTTAGCCATTATGCGAACTATAGCAATGATGCACTCTCTATGAATGTGAATGCTCCTATTTGATGCATACTTTGGCGTTGTATTTACCCATGTTTACTTTAGATATGTTATATATTTGCTTACAATAAGGCTTCGTTGGCACAGTAATTTCAGTTTATAAAAACGCCTGTTGTTGATTTCAGTTACGTGATTCTTCTGAAAGCGGCCATTCTTTGTAACGATAACCCAATGATGCTTACTTATACTTCACCTGAGGAATGTGCCCTTACTGGACAACGTATTGTTCTTGTATACTTCATGCTACTCATATATGATATTGCTCTCTGCTGACCCTTAGGCCTCTGCGTAGGTTCATGTAAAACCATTTTACTCGCTATATCACTGTTTGACTGCCTTAACTTTGACTAAAATAAAAACCATTTAAAACAATTTGGGAACACCGCTGTTAAGACCACTGAGAAGGAAGTTAGAATTTTCTTTTCCTAAACCGCTATTCCTGCCTGAATTTTCCAATTCAGTTTTTGATTGACTATAGTTCGGTGTTTAGTGAATAAAACCTCTTTGTGTTTTCTGTTTCAAGCTTTGCTTGTAGACTTCACAGTGCAGTCTACATTTCATAGTTGAATCAACAAACTCATTTGACATGGAAAATTAAGTTTGTGAAATGCAGTCGCTTGCAGTTACAATTATTAGACAGGAAGATTGAACTGTATTATGGGTGTAATAGGTTTTCCCAAGTAAGATAGTCTGGTGCATTTAGTTTTAAGAGACCAATTACCCAGGCATGTATTTGCATTGGTTACAATAATAAAAACTTCATTTTGATTTACATAACTCATTATGTCTTATATATGTCTCTATTATCCAATAATATAAAAGGTTGATGCGCTATGTTTGTTAAATAAATATTACATTATATGTTATAAAGTGCCAATATATTAAGCAAAACAAAAAACCTACATGAAATGTATTTGTAATTTTCAGAGTTCTTAAAATGGATTATTTCGCTAACCACATAGGTAAACACAGAGCACATAGAGCAATCACAGCAGCAGGCAAGTAAGGTTGAGCAGCAGTTGGTCACATAACAGTAGAGTGTGACCCAACATGGCTTTTCAGCAAGAAATGTTCTTTAAAAAAACCAATATACATCATTTAACAAAAATATCATTACGTTTCTTTAGATGTAACAAACATTTAAAAAATGAAAAGTGAAAAATTTGATGACAGTTGCCCTTTAAATGTCTGTTGCTGATGATTATTACAAATAGAGTATTGTATAGGATGGAGAAAAATGAGATAATTAAAAAGAGAATATGAACACAGAGAAACAGTTAAAGAGGCACTGTACGCCTTTCTGCAAAATGAGTTTTTTTCATAAAGATAATTAGCTCTACAAATAATACTGATCATTGGCATGGGTGGTCTTTAACTGTCACTAACCTGTGACTTATGCTTCACTATTTTAGTGTTTGAAGTTATTATTAGAATGTAAAGAACTTGAGTTATTGGGGTCAACCATTTTCATGGCCTTCTAGGACAGTATCCTTAGAAATACAGTTGTGCTCAAAATTACCATACCCTTGCAGAAATTGTTACATTTTGGCATTGATTTAGAAAATATGACTGATCTTATTTTCTTTAAGATATTGATCATTTGAAGCCATTTATTGTCACATAGTTATTTGGCCCCTTTTTAAATCATAATGATAACAGAAATCACCCAAATGACCCTGATCAAAGTTTACATACCCTTGAATGGTTGGCCTTGTTACAGACACACAAGGTGACACATACAGTTTAAAATGGCAATTAAAGGTTAACTTCCCACACTTGTGGCTTTCTAAATTGTAAGTAGTGTTTGTGTATAATTAGTCAATGAGTTTGTTAGCTCTCATGTGGATGCACTAGATACTGAGCCATGGATAGCAGAAAAGAACTGTCAAAAAACTGCATAACAAGGTAATGGAACTTTATAAAGATGGAAAAGGATACAAAAAGATATCCAAAACCTTGAAAATGCCAGTCAGTACTGTTCAATCACTTATTAAGAAGTGGAGCATTCATGCATCTCTCGATACCAAGACAAGGTCAGGTACACCAAGAAAGATTTCAGCCACAACTGCCAGAGGAATTGGTCGGGATACAAAAAGAACCCACAGGTAACCTCGTGAGAAATACAGGCTGCTCTGGAAAAAGACGGTGTGGTTGTTTCAAGGAGCACAATATGATGATATTTGAACAAAAATTTGCTGCATGGTCGAGTTGCCAGAAAAAAACCTTTACTGCACCATTGCCACAAAAAAGCGGAGTTACAATATGCCTGACAACACCTTGACATGCCTCACAGCTTCTGGCACACTGTAATTTGGAGTGACGAGGCAAAAATAGAGCTTTATGGTCACAACCATAAGCGCTATGTTTGGAGTTGGGTCAACAAGGCCTATAGTGAAGAAAATACCATCCCCACTGTGAAGCATGGTGGTGGCTCCCTGATGTGTTGGGGGTGTTTGAGCTCTAAAGGCATGGGGAATCTTGTGACAATTGATGACAAGATGAATGCAGCATGTTATCAGAAAATACTGTCAGACAATTTGCATCTTTGTGCATTTGTGCACAGGACACTCTTGGACTTTCCAGCATGACAATGACCCTAAGCACAAGGTCAAGTTGACCCTCCAGTGCTTACAGCAGAAAAAAAGTGAAGGTTCTAGAGTGGCCATCACAGTCTCCTAACCTTAATATCATCAAGTCACTCTGGGGAGATCTCAAACATGCAGTTAATGTAAGACGACCAAAGACTTTGAATAACCTGGAGGCATTTTGCCAAGATGAATGGGCAGCTATATCACCTACACGAATTAAGAGCCTCATAGACAACTATGACAAGACTGCATGTTGTCATTAATGCTAAAGTGGGCAAAACACAGTATTAAGAACTGCAGACTTTTGAACAAGGGTTATTTCATTTTTTGTTTTTTTTTGTTTCCATGTTTTGTTTTAGGATTGTGCCATTCTGTTATAACCTACAGTTGAATATGAATCCCATAAGAAATAAAGCCGCGAGGCAAACAAGGCATTTGCCTAGGGCAGCACAAAACCAGGATACACCACTGACTGTACCACTTCTGTAAGATCAGTCCAGATGAGTATGCCTTCTCTCCCCACGTGCTTCAAAGAGCCTTGTGTGCACATGATCCTGTTGTCCTTCCATGCACCACTTATGGCAGGTACTAACCACTGCATCCATTGATCACCCAACAAGACTTGCTGTTTTGGAGATGCTCAGACCCAGTTGACTAGCCATCACTATTTGGCCCTTGTTTAAAGTCACTCAAATCTTTTCGCTTGTCCCATTTTTACTGCTTCAAACAAATAAAATTCAAGAGGTGATTGTTCACTTGCTGCCTCATATTCTTTCTCTTTAAAGGAAGCTTCAAAACACCTTTAGCGGTTTTGGTGTATAGATCATGCTCATGCCATCTTGATGTTCAATTCTCTGCCATTTAGGAGTTATATAGCTTTGTTTATGCAGCCATAGCTATATCCCCCCTGTGACTCACACAGGCTCTCTACACACTTCTTAAAAAAAAGTCTTATTTTAAAAACAGTGTGTTTAAGTTAAAAGTTCTTGCTTCCTGATTTAAGAATATTTCTTATGATTTCTTATGATTTAAGAATATATATCACAACTCAACTTTGAATTATATATATCGTCTTGCTCAGAAATACTTCAGACTTGAGAAAGGGAGGTTCTCCCGAAAGCTTGTCATTAAAAAATTCTGTTAGTCCAATAAAAAAAGGTATTACAAGATACAAATTTTGTCTGTTATATTAGGGAGGCTTTGTGTGACACAGCCAAGAAAGATGTGGCTAAGGCTGCTTAAACATTGTGTTGTAAGCTTGTCTGTTCCAGTAAGTCAGTCGGGTTTTGTAAGAATTTCATGTTTGTTTTGTTTACCTATTGTGTTGCGCTGCAGAACAAATAATTGTAATTGTAAATTAAGTCCTAAACAGCAGAGAATTGCACAGTTATACTACAGGATCATGATTTATATACATCAAAACTGTTACTCAAAACGTTTTTCATGCAAAGACTTAATTGTTTTTAAATCTACAACAAATGGATGTATATGGTAATGGTTTACTGAACCAAGCTACTGATATAAGTTCAGCCTTCACAGTAACATTAATAAAATAGTGAGTCCTCGACACATGTTAGAATTACACAAATTTTGTATTATTTCATTGCATTGTTTTTGTGGTTTGAATTTTTCTGGATGATGTCTTTCTTACTCAAATTTAATGATAAAATACCCCAAACATACTACCAGATCTAACCAAACAATTTAGAAACTGTATTGTATAGTTTTCACATTTCTAGGAAAAAATAAATTACCCATTTTAAATTACCCATTCATTTACAACTACATCAGAGATCAATTAGTTAAAAATATGACAGAATAAAAGCCATATAGCTAGAACTCTTATGAAATACACAGTTTAGATATGTTTAGACATAGTTAATTAATACAAGCTCTATCATGTTGACATAATTTTTTTTTATTTAAACCCTTTCATTAGATAAGATGTGCTAAATCTGTTATTAAGTGACATTACAGGCTCCCGGACCACTTCAGCTCATTGAAGTGGTCTGGATGCAGTGTCCCATCACCCTTAACCCCGAGTATATAATTATTAAAGTTTTTAATAAACTGCAATAATTACCGTCTAGGGTTAACTCCTCCTCTAGTGGCTGTCTACCAAACAGTCACTAGAGGGACGTCTGGGTCAGTAGGCGACTTTTGGCCGCCTTAATGATACGGGACATCCTCACGCTGTGCATGAGGACTTCCAGTGTCACTGGAATCGCCATAGATATGCTTTCCTATGGGGAAATCCTAAAGCGACCGTGACTATTGCCGCACAAGTGCATTAGGTGTCCCCTGTTGCTGTCAGCCAAGGAGAAATGAAACCCAGAGCTAGAGTCCCAGGTTCCCCCCTTAAACTCTTCTGCATCTGAGGGGGAGCGGGCTTGATGGAGGGGGAAGCTATAACGAGTTTGTTTTCCTGGCACTATAGTTTCCCTTTATATCATTGCATTGTTTAACCCCTTGTCCTGAGTTAAAAGATTAGAGTTATGTCTTATCTTCGCTCCAGCCGTTCCCACTGCTGTTTGGGACACTGACAGCAAATTGGGATGCACAGTTAGTGAATATTTAGTGACCGTTACACAAAATAGTTGTACAGTGGTTTTCTTCTCTGAACTTTGGAAGAATAACAGCTTGAGAATATAGCCAAAACAACGGTGTATGCCAGGTATATTGTGTTAAAATGCATGGGAAGTGTCTAGGTTCAAATCTGGCCAAATTCAAAGAAAATCTTCAAGCAGACTTGGCCTTTCTTCAATCTTTAACCCTAACCCTGCAGGGCTCTAGACTCTATACTTAGACACGAAGTTTATTTTCCTACTACATATTAGAAATAAAGATAAATTTACCATGTAAAAATAAAATGCTTTCTACCCCCCCCTCCCACCAATGTCCTTCCACAATTCATTGTCACCATCTCATTGGCCATCAAGTCTAGGCTGGTACATAAAATAGGTTCTGGTATTTAAAAGCTTGAAGCTTTATAGTCCACTTTCAACAGACAGGATCCAGAAACAACAGATTTTAAATCTCACATATAACATTAACAAAAATCAAAAACAGTGCTGACAATATGCCCATTCACCCCGACTTTGCAAACTCACACTTTTACCTAGTGACTCTGGTACTATACTTACTCAGGTATCTTGAGATATACCCATGGGAATATATCCATTACCCTGATATACCTGAGAATATGTTGGCTTAAATTTCTGAGAATTTGTCTGTTAACTCCAAAGCTGAGCATCTGACCAGGAGTGCCCAAAAGGTAGATACCCAGATGTTTTAAAACAACACCTTCCATGATGCTTTGTCATTGTAAAGGCATGCAAAGCATCATGGTTGTTGTAGTTCTACAACATCTGGGAATCTACCCTTTGGTCTCCTGTGCACTAGAGCATCATTGGACAATGGGCTTCAGAAGCTAAACATCTTTGGCAGTAAGTAACTATGATATATACTTATTTCTACTGTTTTGATCACCCTAGTAAATGCTTCAGTAGTGTCAGTGACAGTTCATATTTAAACGGTCACTTCAAGTACCATAAAACTGAAGTAATTAGACGTTGTCACGATGCCTGGAGTCTGTATGTGCAGCATTCTGCGTGAAACACAATTAATTTAGGTTAAAACGGCTTTTATTTGTGTCATCGAAAATGTACAACAGTGCTATGGGATAGCAAAATAGGAGACATGCAGGTCTTGCAAAATCGGGAACAGCAATATGATTATAAATGAATGTAAACCTAAACAATATTATCAATTAGGAGGTAGTATAGTATCAGTATCGGTAAACTCGTCATGTTACATGCATTTAACATGCAGATGTCTGCATCCTATGGTCGTACAGGAAGGGGTGAGTGTATCACCTCTGGGTGAGCTAGGTAGTGACTGTATAGTACGTGGACGAGATTCGCCTGTTATCATAATGATTGCATATAGCCTAGGAGTATCTTCTGGCGGGTAGGGGCCACTATAGCGTCTGTTGTATAGCTAACCTGAAGAAACACAATGAATTTAACCACTTGAGTGTAATTCTACCTCTGGCAGTGTCATGAGGCGTAATCAACCAACCTGAAACCAGAGTTCTGGGCTGGCTAATGTCAATATCAAACCAAAAAATGGAACTGTACTCAATCCATAAATAAAGCCTTGGTGCAGCCAATTCTGGGGCTAGCACCAAGGCCCAAGAAGTAGTTTGTAGTCACCGAAGAAATAAAAAGGTCCAGGCAATTCAAGGCTTAGATAGGCATTTTATTGAACTACAGTGTCCAGCAGCAACGTTTCGACCCAAGGAATTTTCCACTTTTTAATAAGTGACTAAACTGTACTGACTGGCATTTTCAAGGCTGGATATGTTTTTATATGTTTTTCCATCTGTATAAAGTTCCATTACCTTGTTACGCAGGTCTTTTGACAGTTGTTTTCTGCTCCCCATGGCTCAGTGTCTAGCCTGCTCAGTGCATCCACGTGAGAACTAACAAACTCAATGACTATTTATACACAGACACTAATTGCAATTTAAAAAGCCACAGGTGTGGGAAATAAACCCTTAATTGCCATTTTAACCTGTGTGTGTCACTTTGTGTGTCTGTAACAAGGTCAAACATTCAAAGGTATGTAAATGTTTGATCAGGGCCATTTGGGTGATTTCTGTCATCATTATGATTTCAAAAGGAGCCAAAAAACTGACAATAAATGGCTTCAAATGATCACTATCCCACAATATTTTTTGGTTTTTTTTTGCATGATCAGTCATATTTTCTAAATCAATGCCAAAATTTCAAATTGTTTTGCCAAGGTATGCAAACTTTTGAGCATGCAAATGAATGAATATATATATATATATATATATATATATATATATATATATATATATATATATATATATATATATATATATATATATATATATATATATATATATATATACACATACACATGCGGTTTCGTGGGCACACTATGTTCATAATATTAGCAGCACTATTAAAAAGGCTCTTTCATGTTTATCATGACCATGTGTCTTAAATGTAAAATCCACAAAACTCACAAAAGAGATCTACAAAACGATTAAAGTCAATTCAAAATGTATAACATGCATGGAATCAGCAAATTAATGTGTGACTTGGTAAATATGTGCACAGAAGTTGAATGGGCCAAATGCCCTAAATTTTGGAGGATAAAAAGTGAATCTGGCTCCTATGAGTTTATGGAGATTATACAATTATATTAATAATGGATTACGTCTATTTTAAAAAAAAAATTTTTTTGACAGTTTACCATGAGATCCTAAATCTAACGTCACCCCCTAAATACACCAGGATATATTATCCTCTGTCAAAGAGGTGAAATATATAAAAATAAAAGAATAATAATGCTGGTTTAGAACATCTTCAGTGCTGCAGAAGCTGGATGGTAATTCTGCCACTCATTCATTGACTGAGAGCATCAGCTAAACTCTTGTTCTGGGCTGATCACAATGCCAGTGGTGGAGTTACACTGTTGGCATCATAAGGAGTTACACTCCTTATGTGCTGTGTTTCATTGTGAAACGCTGCACATACAGACTCCAGGCATTACTACTTCAAATCACTGAAATGGTCGTTTGCTTGGAATAACCCTTTGAACTTACAGTGCACAGTAACAATTATTATATGCACCAGCTGAACCATTCATTCCGCCATCTTGCTCTTGATAATTCACACATAGATTAAAACCTAATCCTAGTTTAGACAGGGTTTAGAGAAGGAATTACATGAAGGCAAGTGGAAATGGGTAGTTGTTTCAGCCATGTTATTTGGCTGTGCTCCAAGGAACATGTATATTGTTAAACCTCAGGCTAGATGTTAACTCTACAATAGAAAGAAATACATAATGAATAATAGTAAAGACATAATAAACCAACCTGTCTTTAAAGAAGCCTTTGTAGTATGATACAAGAATTTACTATAAATTAAAGGATACATGTCATGTAAAAGGCTAAATAGACATACCGTATTTATCGGCGTATAACACGCACCGGCGTATAACACGCACCTCATTTTAAGAAGGAAATTTCAGGGAAAAAAAACTTAAAGGACCACTATAGTGCCAGGAAAACGAGTATGTTTTCCTGGCACTATAGTGGTCCTTTAAGTTTTTCCCCCTGAAATTTCCTTCTTAAAATGAGGTGCGTGTTATACACCCTCAGGGACCCCCTCCCGCCGGGCTCTGGAGAGAGGAAGGGGTTAAACACTTACCTTTCTCCAGCGCCGGGCGGGGAGCTGTACTCCTTGCTCGCGACGTCATCGGCTGAATGCACACGCGCGGCAGGAGCCGCGCGCATTCAGCCGGTCACATAGGAAAGCATTTACAATGCTTTCCTATGGACGCTTGCGTGCTCTCACTGTGATTTTCACAGTGAGAAGCACGCAAGCGCCTTTAGCGGCTGTCAATGAGACAGCCACTAGAGGCTCTGGAGGCTGGTTAAACCTCAGTATAAACATAGCAGTTTCTCTGAAACTGCTATGTTTATAAAAAAAAAGGTTAATCCTAGAGGGACCTGGCACCCAGACCACTTCATTAAGCTGAAGTGGTCTGGGTGCCTAGAGTGGTCCTTTAAATTTCAAATAAAGAACTTCTTACCCCCCTTTCTTACTCCCCCCTCTTCTTACTTCCCCTTCCCCCTCTTACCCCCTTCTTACTCCCCCTCCTCTTACCCCCCTTTCTTACTCCCCTCCTCTACTCTTCTTACCCAATTCTCCCCTCTACCCCTTTCTACTTCCCCTCTTCTACCCCCTCCCCTCTTGTTACCCTCCCTTCTTCTACTTCCTCCCCTCTACCCCTTCTACTTCCCCTCTTCTACCCTCCTCTTTGTTAGCCCCCTCCTCTTGTTAGCCCCCTCCCTCTTCTTAACCCTCCTCACCCTCCCCTTCTCTTTCCTCCCCTCACCCTCCCTCTACCCCTCCCCTCTTCTTACTTTTCTCGCTTGCAGTCCGGCAGCCGCGATAGAGGTGTGACGCCAGTGTGTATCACCGGTAGTCAGAAACTTCCTGTTCCGCTGAACAGGAGTTTTGCAGCTTTCTGTACTCAAGCCGATTGACAGGAAGGTGCATTACTGAGCGTACCTTCCTATCACTCCGGCCGGCCACCGCGGACTGCAGAGCGGCTCGGCCAAGCTACAGGGGAGGTGAGTACTAAATGCAGCCGCCTGAGCGCTCTTGACAGAGTGCTCAGGCGGCTGCAGAATTTAAAGGGCCGGCGTATAAAACGCACCCACGATTTCTCCCCTATTTTCAGGGAGAAAAAGTGCGTGTTATACGCCGATAAATACGGTAGTTAAATCAGGTCACTCATTTAACTTATTTTGTTGCGTTTCTTTTAGCTCCTTCAATCCCCACAGGCAGGGCAAAATGTAGCAATATAGCCATTTCTAAGTCAGAAAATATCCATTCTCAATTCTTGACACTATAGTCACCAGAACAACTTTAGCTTAATAAAGCAGTGTTGGTGTATAGATCATACCCCTAAAGTCTCACTGCTCAATTATCTGCCATGTATGAGCTAAATTCTTTGTGTATGCAGCCTTAGTGACACCTCCCTGCATTAATGCCTTAAGGATTAATGATGGAATAATTCCATCATGAAAACACTATACCATTTGAACAGGAAATATCAAAACGGAATGCCCCACTCATTTAAAGTCAGCAAGACTATATACAATTGCTAATACTAACTAAGCAGAACATAGTTCATTGCTCAACATAATGACTTAGGGAATTTACGGACCAGACCAGTGGCGTACATGCCGGGGTCGTGGCTGCGACCGAGCCCAGCCCACCCAGTATGTACGCCAGTATGGCTGGCCCTGGTGTCACCTGGCTGGCGGGCACGTGAGGGAGCACTCTCCCCTGAGCGCTCTCTGCCCAGCTCCTTCACGCGCCGCTTACTGATGCCGGAGCCGGAATATGACATTGCGAGCCCCCAAAGAGAGCGAGCCAGCCAGCCCGGTGACCAGTCGCCCAGCAACACCACTGGACCCCAGGGAATCCCCTCAGCTCTCCCAAAGGTAAGGAGGCTGGAGGATTAAATATTAAAGAAACGTGTGTGTTAGTGTTAGAGTGTGTGTGTCTGCTAGTAAGTATGTTAGTTTTTGTGTGTCTGTTATTGAGTGTGTGTCTGCTAGTGAGTGTCAGTGTGTTTGTGTTAGTTTGTGTGTCAGTGAGTGTGTGTGTCTGTTACTGAGTGTGTTAGTTTGTGTGTGTCTGTTTGATGTATGTTAGTGAGTGTGTGTTTGTCAGTGAGAGTGTATGTTTTGTAAGTGAGTGTGTCTGTCTGTCAGTGAGTGTGTATGCATGTATGTCGCTGAGTGTGTCTGTCAGTAAATGACCCCTGCGACCAGGTGCCCGCCACCATGTGTTCTGGCCCACAGAGAGTAAGCTCGGAGGGCGGGGGGGCACGGATGAATTTTCGCACCGGGGCCGCCACTGGGCCAGACATTGATTAAAGTATAACATATCAATCGTGTTTAAGAGGTCAAGTAAGGCTTGTTTACCTTTTACCCAGAACTCACAGCACCTAACCCTGCAGGATCTGCCCTAAGCAGAGTCTGGGCCCCATACAGCATTGAAACAGCTACACCCAGAACTCACAATACCTTACCCTGCAGGATCTGCCCTAAGCAGAGTCTGGGCCCCATACAGCATTGAAACAGCTACACCCAGAACTCACAATACCTTACCCTGCAGGATCTGCCCTAAGCAGTGGTAGCATTTCTGGATGATCATTTCCTACCCACCCTTCCCCACAACCCACCCTCCCCATGGTACTCATTACATTTATAGATAGCTTAAATTACCTGGCTTTCCTGACAAACCAATCATGTCCACCAAGCTCTCCACACCTAAAATAGCTTAACTCACACAATGAATACCTTTTAACCCTTAACCCTCCTAACCTCACCTATGATTTTCACAGCTCAATTTTCCACATATTAAAACACAGCACCTACTCTCCTAATAATGTTCTCACTTTTATTTTTCACTTTCTCCCTCACTTCCCTCATTATTAAAATATCTCTATTGTTTTACTTACCTGTTCCTTCTGACACCATCTTCATTGCTCCCTCTCTACTTCCCTCATCTCTGTATTCATCACATGCACTTTGCTCTTATTTTTCCAGCCTTTCTCCACAAACCTAAATACAAGCTCTCATCCCAAACATTTAAATTTTACTCTCACCTTCTCTTCCTTTCCATCCTACTGCTCCTGGCAGCTGATGATGTCTCTCCAAACCCTGATCCCTCCTCTAATGAGAAAATACGACAATCTCATATCTATTCTATGTAGCTCTCACTATAATTCCTCCTTTAAAGCTGCCCTCTGGAATGCACGCTCTGTGTGCAGCACCATTAAATCAACTTCCATCCATGAACTATTTATCTCACACTCCCTAAACCTACTCGGAAAACATGGCTCTCTCCCTCTGATACTACTACCCCTGCCTCACTATCCTTTGGTGGTCTTCACTTTACCCACAACCCAAGACAGGCTGAGAGTAAAGGTGGCGGTGTAAGATTTCTGCTTTCACCCCACTGCTCCTTTAAACTCTGCCCACACACCCCCTTCCGTCTCTTTCCCATCATTTAAAATTCATTCGATTTGCCTTTTCAAACCCTTCTCTGCTAACATTGCCGTTATTTATCTCCACCCTGGTTACCCTCTCCTCTTCCTTGACCACTTTGATGCCTGGCTAACCTGCTTCCTCTCTTCTAATATTCCATCCCTAATTCTCTAGGACTTTAATATTCTCATTAACCCACCTTTGACCTCAGCAACCTCTAAACAACTTTCAATTACTTTCTCCCTTGGGCTATCGCTGTGGGCTAATTCTCCCAAGCATGTAGCGGGCAATACCCTCAACCTCATTTTCTCTTATCTATGTACAGTATCTAATATCTGCAACACTCAATTTCCTCTCTCTGATCACCACCTTTATCATTTGCTCTCGAGTACCCCCTCACCCAACAACCTCAGCCTAACCCCCCTCAACTCAGGAGGAACCTTAATTCTATTGACCTCCAGCAGCTGTCCGCTGATATTCATTCACAACTGCTATCAATCCCTTCCCTCTCCTGTCCCTCACTGGCCATTTCCACATATAACACTACCTTCACATCTGCCTTGAACGCTGCAGCCCCAAAGGGTCCACATTTCATTCATAGTCCTATTTTGGACAATATCAGCAAAGGCCCTTATTTCATATTTTTGGACAAGCTTTTCAAATGATGTAATATTTTTTTGTTAAACTAAATTTTTATATGAAAATAAATAATATATCAAATATATATCAAAATGTTTTTCAAGAAAATAAATCATTTAAAGACCACTTTAAGATTTCTTTACATTACTGTTCTATTTAATTGGTGTGATGGAAAAAACATTTCTGTGGAAATGTTCAAAAGAACCTTTACTCAAATTTCTTACATATGGAACACAATTAAGGTTTAGCTTTATTCTTATTTATTTATTTGCTCAAATGCATTAAAGTCAGATGGGTCAACAGCATCATATATAAAATACATACCTCCCAACATTGGGGAGTATGAGCTTTGGAAAGGAGTGGTTGAACCCAAAGGGAAGAAAGTAGAGAAAGGCATTAATTAAAAGCAGATAAGGGTGTCTATATTCAAAAAAGGTTCAAAATTTCAACCCCGAAATTACAAATATGAGCTTAAAAATGTTACTCCAACCAAAGAGCTGTGTTTTAACAAAATATTGTTTTTAGACACTGTAACCTTACGTGCATACCCCCCTAAAATAAATAAATAAGAGTAGAGCTAAACCTTCATTGTGTTCCATATCTCAGAATTTTGAGTAAAGGTTTTTTGGAACATCTCCACAGAAAGGAGACGAAACGTACGTGTGGCAATTTCCTTGTTGTGCTTCTCATGAAGATATCATCATTGACGCCCTCACTTCCTCTGTGAGCAAGCACTCAAAACAAATGGAGAACAAAATGGAAGGAAACTAAAGAGATGTGAGTTCTGATTTGAAATGCCGCTGGTATGTTCTGTTAGCCCCTAAAGCACTTCATCAAACTAAAGTAAATTAGAGTGTTCTTTTAATCTCCATGTTCTTGACCTTGATTTTTTTTCAATACTTTAATATTATAATTAATGGGTAATTCTCAATTACTATACAAAGCAATGTGTCTAGTTTGTAGTCTGCATTTTATCTACATTGAGCACTTTCAGTCCATGAATGGCTCACTGTGTATTGCGGTCTGTAATATCTTGCAGGAGATCGTATGTTAGAGAATATTCCATCTTGAGTGCTTTTATTTCGTTTGACTAATGACTACTAATGTAAGTATTTCTTTCCAATCAAAATATACTGTGCAATACAACTGAGTACAAAATTAATTGATCAAGACAGAGCCAAAACTTCAAATAATTCTGTATTAATGTTTACTTTATTAGTATGGCTCAGGACAAGAATAATACGCCATCAACAGTAATCAACAGTGTTCATTGCACAGATGAATGGCTGTCATTTAATCTCGTTAATACCAGCTGCTTGTAGCATGCATTAGAGATACATTCTATAGTTTGGTGTTATTCTTATTACATCTGATACGTTGCAGGTCTATAAAGTAGTTAAAATCACCCCCACATTTTTGACATGTTTCTAATTGATGGACTATAGATTTTTCTATGATTAATTGGAAACAATTGAAATCAGCTGGTCCTTTGATAGGTCTATCCACTAAACAGTGAGGGTTTGTTTCTAGTGTTGTCGCTAAATGTGGTTGTCACTAACCTTAGCTTTCTTTCCCAAGAACAAAAGCTTACTATTAGTGATAGGGAATTACTGGATGATTATAAAGGGAGCCATTATTCACTATTTGCTGACTGATTTACAACCATGTCGCTAAAGCTACCATAGAGTATAAAGGGAGTCATTAATCATTACTTACTGACTGGTTTTCAAACTTGTCGCTAACGCTTACATTTTAACACCTGTCTCTGCCTGGTGGAAAGACACAAAAATATGATTTACAGTTGCATAAGCCCCATGTATTCTATATCACATAAAATTACATTAACCCCTTAAGGACTGGACTGTTTTTGCGATGTTGTACATTTGCGACCAGGCATATTTTTACACTTTTGTGGTGTTTGTGTTTGGCTGTAATTTTCCGCTCTCTCATTTACTGTTCCCATACAAATTATATATTGTTTTTTTCAGGACAAAAGGGGCTTTCTTTACATACCATTATTTATATAATCCCATGTATTTTAATTTAAAGAAAATATGATGAAGAATTTTAAAAAATACATGCTTTTTTGACTTTTACTTGAAAAATCTTTTACTCATCTACAAAAGCGAATGAAAAAAACTGCTAAAAAGATTCAAAATTTTGTCCTGAGTTTAAAAATACCCAGTGTTTACGTGCTTTTTTCTTTTTTTTTTGCATGTTATAGGTCTATAGGTACAAGTAGGATATTGCGGTTTCAAAACATACATTTTTAAAATGTATCAATAGTGACATTGTAACACTATTATCTGTCATAAATCTCTGAATAACACCACACATGTACATATTTTTTTTAAAGTAGACAACCCAGGGTATTCAATATGGGGTATGTCCAGTCTTTTTTAGTAGCCACTTAGTCGAAAACACTGGCCAAAGTAAGCATTCATATTTGTTTGTGTGTGAAAAAAGTAAAAAAACTAAATTGAACACTAATTTTGGCCAGTGTTTGTGACCAAGTGGTTACTAAAAAAGACTGGACATACCCCATTTGCAATACCTTGGGTTGTCTTCTTTTGCAAATGGTATGCCATCATGGGGGTAATTCTCAGTCCTAGGCTACCATATGCTCTCAAAGGCAACGTAACCAACCTGGCCATTTTCAATGTAAAAATATTTGACCCATATATTTGACCCTGTAATTTTCAAAAATGCTATAAAACCTGTACATGGGGGGTACTGTTTTACTCGTGAGACATCGCTGAACACAAATATTAGTGTTTAAAAACTGGAAAACGTATCACAACAATTATATCATCAGTAAAAGTGCTGTTTGTGTGTGAAAAATGCAAAAAGTCACTTTCACTGACAATATCATCGCTGTGATATGTTTTACTGTTTTGAATCACTAATATTTGTGTTCAGCGAAGTCTCCCGAGTAAAACAGTACCCCCCATGTACAGGTTTTAGGGTGTCGTAGAACGTTACAGGGTAAAATACAGTGCTAGCAAATTAAATTCTCTGGACTTTCGGCCTGGGTTGGCAGGCAGGTCCCTCAAATTGCAATCAATAAAATTACTTAATTATGTAAAAATATTACATAAATACGCACGTAGAATTTAAATATATATGCATATTTATATATTTGAAATCTACGTGCATATTTATATAATTGTTTATGTAATTTTGTATATGGACATATGTATATTTTGTATTATTTTTATTTATTTATATATATACATAGATATATATACAAATTCATTCTAAGTGTATTTTGATATAAATATATATATTAATTTTAAAATACAGTTAGAATAAAATTTCATTTAGATATATCATTTTTTTCAATTTTTATTATTATTTAAAAAAAAATAATTTAATTTAAATTACTTATTATTTATATTTTATAATATATATATATATATATATACAATATATATAGTTATTATATATATTATATATATATACATGTGTAATTTAATTATAAGTGTATTTTTATATTAAAAATATATAAAAATACACTTAGTATGACGTTATATATATGATATATAATTTTTTTTATTTTTAATTAACATTAACTTTTTTTTTTTCTTTTTTTTTTACACTAGCAGGGAGACTGCCTGTCAGCACAGACAGTCCCCCTCTAGGCAGACACATGGACACCTATTGTGACCATGTGATCGCTGTGTTAAGCGATCACATGGCCCCAGGGGTCCTAATCCAGTGTGGGGAGACTGTCTTGGCTGCAGGCAGTCTCCCCACACCGGGAGCCACGCTGATCGCCGCCAGGGGAACGACGGCGATCAGGTAAGTAACTAGGACCGTTAGGACGGTTCAGGACCGTCATTGGTCGGCAAGGCAAAAATGCCGATGACGGTCCTGAACCGTCCTCGGTCCTTAAGGGGTTAAATCTCCAAGAGCTTATTAGATGATCAGACCAAATAAAACTGCAATAGAACATGTCAAACCATAATGAACAATATTGAAGCATATCAGACCATGTTAAACCATATCAAAGTAAATGTATTGAACAGCAGTTGAAATAATGGAAAAGGCTAGATAGATAAGTTAAGAAAAAAAGTATTCTTTATATAAGTAAAGTGCATGTTTCATCTTCAGCTTAAAAATTTTTACCCACAGGAACATCACACTGATATGTAGCAGACATAGTACAGAATCAAACATATACAATTAAACCCTGCGCTTAAACTCCCACTACTCCTGGGCAGCAGCAATGACAATAGTATACATCTGCCCCAATACATACAATAAAAAACAAAGAAAAGAGATATGTGCACACTACCCCAAACCCTTATGCACCCCAAATCCCTATGCACATTTAAATAACTGAAAGGTTTTTAGTATCACTCCAGTGGCCACTTGAGTATAAGTCGTCAAGGCAAAACCTGTTACATGAGTACAAAATCACACTTCAATACATATAACATACATGTCCAAAAACTTGTACACCAACAGTTAGGTGGAAATAAAGCATATCGGACAGTAATATTGATTAATCAAAATTCTACTTTTAATCATAACAATTCATGTCTCAAGAGAAAAAATGTATTTTAAATAAATTTTTTTCATCATATTTAACACAGCATCGAAATAAACATCAACATATATAAGCATCTTTTATATATGATGCTTTCATCACCAAATAGAGTTTATTAGTTTGTAACAGAGAGCAAAAGGCAGCTCATATGATGTAAATTAAAATCAACTGATTGTTGCTGTAAGATACAGTAGATAAGGCCTCAGCAACCTACTACACAAGTTTCCTTTGCACGGCATGTAAGGATGCCAGACCCAAACAGGCTGGGGAGAACTGAACATCTCAAATCACTTTCTCCCAGTGTTTGTGAAGTGCTTTGCACTTGACCTCACCCTGTAACTGACCAGCTCGGTCCCAACTGGATCCATACAGCCAGACATACACACTCACACAGATGCAGAGGAAACATCCCCTATAGGCAAATACTACAAACAGCCCATTCTCAAACACATTTACAGATTCATAAGCAGCCCCCACAACCCCACTGACAGTCCACATACACTCACACAAACCCACAGGCAGCCTCCTATACTCAATACCCCTCCTATACTCAATACACACAACACCCCACACACAATTCCACAAGCATCACCCCATACACACACCACATTCACACACAAAACATGATACACAGCCCACATTCATATGGAGCACACAGTACAACAAACAGGGCTGGACTGGGACAGAAATTCAGCCCGGGCAAATAAAGACAGAGCAGCCCACTATGAGGGGCGGAGCCAGACAGGAGGCGTGTTTGTTAGTGTGATGCCCTAGTAAATGTCCTGGATTTTTATTTTGTTCAGCGTGAACACGCGCTGCCTTTGCTAGTGATTTGTCTCTGGTGTCCTCCATAGTGGGATACCAGAGAACAAATGTGGAACAGGACTGTAAAAGTGTGTTGTTTGTATGCGTGGATGCTCCCTGTGGTGTTGTATGTGTCTGGAGATTGTTTGTGCGATTGCATGTGTGTATAGGAGACTATTTGTGTTGTAGTTTATGTGTAAAGGGGTCTGTTTGTGGCGTACTATGTGTGACTAGGGGCTGTAGTGTGTTCCTGGACTGTAAAGTGTGTGCATATTTATAGGGCGTGTAGAGTGTGTAGGACTAGAAGGTGTTGTGTATGCGCATGTGAGGACTTTACTGTGTGTAGCTAGGGGATGCAGGGGGTTGCATTGTGTGTATCTTGGAGCTTTAGTGTGCGTATGCTTATAGGGGTTGTAGTGCAGATGTGTGTATAGTTGCGGCAATGAATGTATGTATAGGGGTTTAGGGTGTGTGTATAGGGGTATAGTATGTGCATAGGTGGAGTAGTGTGTGTGTGTGTATAGGGGGTGTAGAGTGTGCACAGGGCTATAGAATGTATTTATAGTGTGTGTACAGAGTGTGTGCATAGGGGTGTGGTGTGTGTGTACAAGGGATATCGCGTGTGTGAGTGCAAGGAGTGTAGTGTATGTTTAGGGGGTATAGAGTTTGTGTACTGTGTGTATATAAGGGGTATAGAGTGTGTAGTGTGTGTGTATATAACGGGGTGTAGTGTGTGTGTATATAAGGGGGTGTAGTGAGTGTATATAAGGGGGTGTAAGGAAATCAAGTATAGCTGAACCGCTTTGATAATTCCTCCTGCAATGCCAGCGTCTAGGGTAGATCCAAGCAATGAAGTCCATAAGAAATATAACAGCTTCCCAAGATAATCCCCTTGGTAAAGCATACGAATTCCCAAATAACAGTCAGAGTCCAGAATCAGGATACAAGTAGATCTGAGGTCTGGAATCTCCAGCCTGCTTTTTATTTGGGTTACAGACAAAAAAATACACACCCAGGGGGAGGCATTAAATCACCAATCAGGTACAGGTTACAGCCCCTACCTCCCTCCCCTCTGATAAACAGTTAACTTCATTAAAACGTGCACTATTTTACCCCAGTTCTGGATGTACCCCAAAAACAGGGGGTACACCTTTAAATTGGGCACCGCTGGATAGTGCTCACTTGTGGGGACAATATGTCAAAAAATCAGTCCATTCGGATGAATGGTTCGGGAGTTATGGAGCACTAAAGTTTTGACCGACCGCACGGATCATCTAGCCGAAAATAGTTCCATAAGTTTTGGCCCTGCGGTCGGTCTCCGTTTAGGCGAATAAAAAAGACGAAAGTCCTGCCATCCGTTCGCATCTTCGTGGTCGTTGAAATCCCCATACGAAGTTGCATGTAACTACCGAACGGCCGGTGATTCGGTTTTTCCCGTGCGAAGTTCTGGATGTATGGAGGTCTCAGCGGTGTTTGCCTGTTTGCGTATCCGATTTTAGTTCCACGCGTTGACGGGCAAACACCGCTGTTCGCACGTAAAATGGCCGCGACCACGTGTAAAGTGCCGAAATGGCGGCCACCTAGATTTTACACGGGGAATTCGCCTGAATCCATCCGAAGGGTAGAAATTATAGCTATATGCCGAATTCCAGCTGAATTGGGTGAATTAACTGTGCAACAAAGGTAGAAATCCTGATGAACGGAGTCATTTCTTCACACTGCTCCCCTATAAGTCCATAGGTCGGCATACCCGCCTAGACCCTGTCGGGTTGGCTTGGGGATGTCCGATGAAAGTATGTTTTTAGGTGTCCAGTTCGGTCTGGCGGGACAGTCCATCCGCATTCCCATTTTGTTTACCCGGACGGTACTGCATGGTAAAATTGTATGGTTGGAGAGCTAGGCTCCACCGGAGTAGCCTGGGGTTGTCACCAGCTACCCGGTTGAGCCATACCAGGGGGTTGTGGTCGGTCATAAGGGTAAACGCTCGCCCATACAGATAGGGCTGAAGTTTCTTGAGGGCCCACACGAGGGCCAAGCACTCTTTTTCTAGGGTGGCATAGCTGACTTCTCGGGGCAAAAGTTTACGGCTGAGGTATGCCACCGGGTGTTCCATGCCATCCGCCCCCACCTGGCTTAGTACGGCTCCCAGCCCAAACATGGAGGCATCTGTGTGTACAAGAAATTGTTTAGTGTAATCGGGTGCTGCTAACACAGGGGCCTCACTCAATGCCGCTTTGAGCTTCTGGAAAGCGTCCGTGCACTCTGGGGTCCAGGAGACCTGTTTGGGAAGAGCCTTTTTGGTAAGGTCCGTGAGGGGCTTGGCCAGGGCGCTATATTCTGGGACGAACTTTCTATAATACCCGGCCGTCCCTAAGAAAGCCAGTACCTGGGTTTTGGTCCGAGGTTGGGGCCAGTTAGCTATGGCTTCTACCTTAGCGGGCTCTGGGCGTTGTCTACCGGAGCCGACACGGTGGCCTAGATACTGGACCTCGGCTAGGCCTACGTGACACTTGTCGGGTTTCAAAGTGAGCCCGGCGAGGTGGATTCGTTCGAGTACCCTGGACACATGACCCAGATGGTCTCCCCATGTGCGGCTATAGATGGCAATATCATCTAGATACGCACATGCGAAGTCCTGCAACCCCTCCAGGAGCCTATCCGCCATCCGCTGAAACGTAGCCGGGGCGTTCTTCATCCCAAAGGGCATAACCTTGAATTGGTATAGCCCAAACGGGGTGACGAACGCCGACTTGGGGATGGCCGCAGGCTCCAGGGGGATCTGCCAATAACCCTTGCACAGGTCCAGGGTAGTCAAGTAGTTCCCCCCCGCCATACGATCTAAGAGCTCATCTATTCTAGGCATGGGGTAGGCATCGGTTATGGTACGGTCGTTAAGCCTCCGGTAATCTACACAGAAGCACGTAGTGCCATCGCGCTTCGGTACTAGTACCACCGGGGAGGCCCAAGGACTTTGGGAGGGTTCTATTACCCCTAGCCGTAACATATCCCTTAACTCGGTGAGCATACTCTCACGTACTGCTTCCGGGATCCGATATGGCTGTTGCCGTAGGGGCATCTCTCCCTGGGTTTCCACACGGTGTACCGCAGCGGAGGTATAGCCGGGGGTAGCGGAAAACATCTCTCGGTATCCCTGCAGCAGATGGGTAGCCTCACCTTTCTCCAGGAGGTCTAAATTTTGCCCCAAGCTTACTTGGTCAATAGTACAGGGGGTGGTCCCCAGTAAGTCAGGCAGGGGAAGCCCTTCACTATCCTCTGTGGCGGGGGCGCACACGGCGCCCACCTCCTCTGTCCTTTCAAAATATGGTTTGAGCATGTTCACATGGAAGGCTTTGGTCAGCCTTTCATCTGAGCATTTGCTCACGATGTAGGTAGTCTCGCTAACCTGTTCCACTACCTTAAAGGGTCCCTGCCAGGCTGCTTGTCCTTTTTAACGGGCCTCAGAGCCAGTACCTTCTGCCCTAAGTCCAGCACTCTATCCTGGGCCCTCCTATCGTACCACTTTTTCTGGTCCTCCTGGGCCGCCTGCAGGTTCTCCCAGACCCGATTCGGTGAGGGCCCGCAGACGGTCCCGGAACTCCAGGACATACTGGACGATAGGGACTCCCCCCTCATCTGTATTGCCCTCCCAGTGTTCCCGTACGAGCTCCAGTGGGCCCCGAACTTTTCTCCCGTACAGGAGTTCGAAGGGGGAAAACCCAGTGGAGGCCTGGGGCACCTCACGGTAGGCAAACAGAAGGTGGGGAAGGAATTTTTCCTAATTCTTGTGGGACTCTGTAAAAGTTTTTAGCATCTGTTTTAGAGTGCCATTGAAACGTTCACAGAGCCCGTTAGTCTGGGGATGATACGGGGCGCTGAACAGGGGCTGCACTCCACAGCTCTGCCACAGTTGTTGCGTCAGGGTAGCTGTGAACTGCGTCCCCCGATCGGAGAGTATCTTCTGCGGGAAACCTACTCGGGTGAATATCTGAATAAGGGCCTCTGCCACGGTCTCGGCCTCTATATTGGTGAGGGCGACTGCCTCCGGGTATCTAGTGGCGTAGTCGACCACCGTTAGGATAAACTTTTTGCCCGACGGGCTGGGGCGACTGAGGGGTCCTATTAAATCCACCGCTACTCGGTGGAAGGGCTGTTCGATGATGGGTAGGGGGTGAAGCTTAGCCTTCCGAAGGTCTCCCCTTTTTCCTACCCTTTGGCATACATCACATGTCCTACAATAGTACTTTAGGTCCTGGGTGGCTCTGGGCCAGAAGAAGGTTTGAGTTAACCTGTCTCTGGTCTTTTTGACCCCTAAATGTCCTGCTAGGGGAATGTCATGACTGAGTTTTAACAACTCAGCCCGAAATTTACGGGGCACAACTAACTGTCTTTTATGACCTGGGTAGCCCCCTGTCCCACCCCCTCGGTTACCCTATATAGCAACCCCTTATACCACTCAAATTTTTCGTGCGGGTTGTTCTCGGGGGTAGCGGCCGCGGCCTTCCTATAGCCTTCTAATGTGGGGTCAGTACGCTGTTCCTGTTCAAACCCCTGGGGGGTATCCCAGAAGGGTACGGGGGGATCGGGTAAAGGGGGTATTTCGACTCTTACCTGGTTCTCCTCAGAGTGCAGCGGAGCTTCCAGTCTGGCTTGAGCTCGGGTGGTAACCGGGTAGGCCTCGGCAGGGGGGTCTCGGGCTAGTTGGGAGGTTAGGCATCCCACATCATTTCCCAACAAAACCTCGGCGGGCAGTTCTTGCATAATCCCCACCTCCAGTTGTTTAGACCCGGAACCCCAATCAACAAACATATTAGCGGTGGGCAGTTTGTGAATAGCGCCCCCAGCCACCCTTACAGCGACTGTGCGTCCGGTGCGAGCTTGTGCTCTGACCGTGTGGGGCTGTACCACAGTCAAAGTAGCCCCAGAGTCTCTCAGCGCCCGGGCCCCCACGCCATCGACGGTAATCCATTGGCGGTGGTGGTCCCGGTTGTCCCCCCAGCTTGTACTGGATTGACCTCATGTAATACGCTCCACTGTTCTTCGTGGTTAAGGGCAGGGCCTGTGTGTTCCTGTTGCACACAGTGAGCAGCTGCCCTGGGTTGTTGTGGGGCTGGCCGTTCCCAGCTTCCCCGGTTTAAGCGAGGGCACTGATGCTTGTAATGTCCTGGTTGCTTGCAGTAGTGACACACTGCAGGAGGTCGAGGTGTGTTTGCTGGGTTCGGTAGGGGGTTACCTATGGCAGGTCTAGGTGGAGCCGGGTTTGTTGGAGCTGTGTACTGAGGCTTAAATGGTGGTCTGCTCGCCCCTGGCTCCTTCCTCCTGTTATCCTGGTACTCGTCCGCTAGCCTAGCGGCCTCCTCCACGGTTTTTGGTTTCCTATCTTTTACCCAGTCTTTTATGTCCTCTGCAGTATGATTAAAAAATTGCTCCAGTATCACTAGTTGCAAAGCTTCTTCTAGGGTGGTTGCCTGGCAGCCCTTCATCCAATTGCGGGCTGCCCGCTGCAGGCGAAAAGCCCATTCCGTATGGGAATCTCTCCCAGTCTTTCTCAGGTCTCTAAACTTTTTCCGGTATGCCTCCGGAGTTACCGCATATCTGGCCAACAAAATGTCTTTTATTTTCTCATAATTATGTATGTCCCCCTCAGGTACTGCTCGCAGCGCCTCGGCTGCTCTACCTGACAATTTACTGCTGACGACTGCAGCCCATTTGGTGGAGTCTAATCCCTCCAGTGCACACTGACGTTCAAAGTCTTGCAAGTAACTGTCAATTTCCATTTCATTGTCAACAAATGATTTAAACGCTGCATAATTTACCTTCTTTGGTATTTCCCCAATACTTCTCGGGGGGTGTAGCAAATCCCCCTGTGACGCTCTGTCCCGGTCATCTCGCTCTTTTTGCGCTTGTCTGGCTTGTGCTACGACCTGCAGTATCGCCTCTGAGGATGGATTGGGTCCCAATAAACTGAGTGTCCATCGGATGTCCTTTTGCATCACGGTTTCTTCCTCTTGGTCCATCTCTATATTACTGGTATTATCGCTCTGCATTAACTCCGCAATTATCGTGGCTTTTGTTTTGTTACTTGCCACTCTGCCTCGAGCTTCCAGTAAGTCCTTTAGCGTGGTTCTTTTAAGTAGCTGGTACTGCTGAGCCATTCATTCCTTTGCTTGTTTTGAAATGTCCATTTGGGATTCGAATCCCTCCGCTTGCCACCAGTTGTAAGGAAATCAAGTATAGCTGAACCGCTTTGATAATTCCTCCTGCAATGCCAGCGTCTAGGGTAGTTCCAAGCAATGAAGTCCATAAGAAATATAACAGCTTCCCAAGATAATCCCCTTGGTAAAGCATACGAATTCCCAAATAACAGTCAGAGTCCAGAATCAGGATACAAGTAGATCTGAGGTCTGGAATCTCCAGCCTGCTTTTTATTAGGGTTACAGACAAAAAAAATACACACCCAGGGGGAGGCATTAAATCACCAATCAGGTACAGGTTACAGCCCCTACCTCCCTCCCCTCTGATAAACAGTTAACTTCATTAAAACGTGCACTATTTTACCCCAGTTCTAGATGTACCCCAAAAACAGGGGGTACACCTTTAAATTGGGCACCGCTGGATAGTGCTCACTTGTGGGGACAATATGTCAAAAAATCAGTCCATTCGGATGAATGGTTCGGGAGTTATGGAGCACTAAAGTTTTGGCGAATAAAAAAGACGAAAGTCCTGCCATCCGTTCGCATCTTCGTGGTCGTTGAAATCCCCATACGAAGTTGCATGTAACTACCGAACGGCCGGTGATTCGGTTTTTCCCGTGCGAAGTTCTGGATGTATGGAGGTCTCAGCGGTGTTTGCCTGTTTGCGTATCCGATTTTAGTTCCACGCGTTGACGGGCAAACACCGCTGTTCGCACGTAAAATGGCCGCGACCACGTGTAAAGTGCCGAAATGGCGGCCACCTAGAGTTTACACGGGGAATTCGCCTGAATCCATCCGAAGGGTAGAAATTATAGCTATATGCCGAATTCCAGCTGAATTGGGTGAATTAACTGTGCAACAAAGGTAGAAATCCTGATGAACGGAGTCATTTCTTCACAGGGGGTATAGTGTGTGTGTGTGTGTGTGTGTGTGTGTGTGTGTATAAGGGGGTGTAGTGAGTGTATATAACTGGGTGTAGGGGGGTGTATATAAGGGGGTGTAGTGAGTGTATATAAAGGTGTAGTGTGTGCAAGTGCAGGTGATAGGATAGTGGCTTCTTTAATTAATTTAACAATAATATATTACATTTACTCCCCCTCCCCCTGGTGTTCCCTGGTGGTCCAGTGAGAGCGGGGGCAAGCTGACATACCGCAAAATGATCCCTAGTGGTCACGTGGTCTGGTTATTTGGTCTGTACCTCCGCTGGGTACAGACCATGTCTCTGACTCTCGCGGTCGCCGGTATTACAGAACGTTGCCGCGGGTTACCACGGCAATGTTCTTTTAATATCGGCACTCGCCAGACACAGGCTGCCCAGCTTCATGTCTGGATTATCTTCCACTCAGGTACCAGCCCGCGAATCTCTCCTCAGGCCCATGAAGGGACCATGGTCCCTCTTAGGGCCGTTGCTGCCCTGCATGGGCCTGCAGGAGAAATACATTGATCGGCCATCGGGCCTGACCACAAACTGCTCTTTCACATACACATTATAACAACACACGCAAAATACAGCAACATACACACATATTATTTTTTTAAATAGGACCAGCATGCCAGTGGACTTCAAAGTCTTCTTTTAGCACAGGGTTGCTAAAAGGGTGCCTTGCACTGCACTAGATAAACATCCAGGAATAGTAATCTGCCTCATTGGAGCATCCCACATTGTAGACGTATGGGCCAATACCTTATAGCATTATTTAACATTAACCATAATGTGGCTTAAACTTGGACTAAGCATAACCTGGACAAGACTTGCTAGAATCATCTTTTACTTAGTAAAAAAAAAAAAAAACACATAATTTGTTAAGTGGCATAGACATTGCCTCTGCCTAATTCAGCTACACTTGGAAGTCTTTTTTTAATGACCCATGATGTTTAAATATTAACAGCTCATAGGCTGGCTGAGCTCAGCTGGTGTATTTGTTTCCCTGGCCTTGTGCTAAGGTGTAAAACTACATTTATAGATGTAAACCGTGACACTGGAATGTAAGAGAGGAACTTCATTGTGACCTCATTCACCTATTAATATGAGACATGCAAGCTTTGCAGCACCAATAGAACAATACCTGTGTTGGTAGTTAAATGACAGATTACTCTTTAATCTGACTATTACTTTGTACATCCCCTGGCTTAACCCCACTCCTGATAATTGCAGATACCAGTTCAGTTACTGCTACAAAGAGCTACCACTTTCAAACTGTATTGAGTGCAGGGGATCATATACTTCATTACTGAATTTCCACTAATTGGTGGCTTGCAGGCTAATGGAATTTTTGAGGCATGTCTGTACCATGCTGGCCACTGACAAATTTATTTACATTTAAATAGCAACTGGATCTAAGGTGCAGAGTCTTGCTGTAAATGAAACATTTTGTTGTTAAATAACATTATGTGGGTATGGACTAATACTCTGTCCTTGGTATATTTATTTTAATTTTCTTCTTTTGATTCTCTTGAATGCATTATCTTTCTTTTAATCTGAACACAGAGTACAGAGGTTAAGGAAATTAACAAAGATATTTAAGGGAGAGAATGTCAGGTTACTCTCTGTAGGATTGGGGGGTAACCCCTAGAGCTAATAACTTGCACATAAACAAAAGTAAATGGGGGGTGGGGGGAAGGGACATACAAAACCCCTATATGAAAAAGAGTAACCCATGTACAAAACTTTACTTTTATGTAAGTCCTTATAAAAACATAAATCTAATAATTATATATTTTATAAAATCCCTATGTATAAGAGACATAGTAAAATAGAATTACTGTTTAGAAGTCATGTCTGTATCTTAGTACAGAATAGCTGTTAGATGTAGACTACAGTAGACTTGGATAAGTAGAGAAATAATTAAATATGGATACACATATATCTGGTTATAATGTGTATAAAAGAAAACAAAATCAGATGTAAGTAGAGCAAACAAATGCGTAGTGGCAAAGTATGACACTCAAGAAACTATAAGGATATAGAAGCGAGAGGGGGATATTTGCTAAACTGGTATAGTATTATATAGTTAGAAAAGTCTATCAAAATAGGGGTAGATATGTATATGATAAGTCTAACAAGTTATATAGCTATAGCAATACCGCTGTGCCTTTGAGGGAACCCCTTTAAAAAAGCTAACCTCCCATTTGGTTTATATTAGTGGTGAAGCAGAGAACTAAGTACTAGCTATTCCCAACCCCTAAATAGTGAAGAAAATAACAAAAAAGGAAAAAGAGAAAGTTGAGGAATTGTTTTATAAACAAAAGGACATTCTGATATAACATTATTAGAGGTAAAATAACATGTCAGATTAACAGGCTCCACAATTTTGATATGTTTACATAGTAAAGGAAGAGGCGATTTTGTTATTCGGCTCATTTCTGCTCATTAAATTGTCTTTATTCCTTCTTCTAATTGTGTCTTTTTTACTCTGTATGATTGTTTGCAGGGTTTTACAAACTCTGACCCTCCAGATGGTGCTGAACTACAACTCCCATGATTCTTTGATGAAATAGATAGCCAGAGAATCATGGGAGTTGTAGTTCAGCAATGTCTGGAGGGTCAGAGTTTGGAGAACCCTCTTTTAAAGAGTCAGCCTAAGCACCATCACAACATTGTTGATGGTGCATGGAGATGGTGCACAACCACAACAAATCCTAAACTTGCTCAGAGAGAAGTAACGTGGGACCCAGGTTAGAGGGCAAACCATTGGTAAACTGTTTGCCCCACCACAGGGGAATCGGCCAGGGTACTCCTGTTATCATAACCACTACATCAGGATGCAGTTGTTATGATACTTGAAGGTACCTTTTACTCTGGCTTCATAAACATATAGGATGATTTTAGGATGAATGTCCCAGAGCATTTGACGTGTTACCCCCGGTTACTCATTTAGTCCCCTGATTTGTGAATAAAATTATTGTTATAGTATTGCATGGAATATTAGACAGTTACCTGTCAGGTCTCCTTGTCATTTCTCACATTTACTAGAACTCTCATTTATGGAATAACACATGCCATTGCCAATTCCATACTTCCCTTCTAGCAGAGACTGACCCTTTGGTGCACTGTCTCTTTACTCCTCTGTTCTAGCTCAAACACTTTTCTGTTTGACATTTGCAGCTCTCTGTTAAGCTTCACTTGTCCCAGAATCCTTTTTTCATTGCTTACTTGGACTGTGTTCCTGGAGAATGAGTGTGTATGTCTTCTCTGCTTGGAGTGGTTCAATGTTAATCCTTTCCTTTTAGAGCTAGACAGTGTTATATTCTGTAAATATCACCTTTAAAACCTTGTCACTTAATATACATAAAATATGCAGATGGCCAATGATTAGCAGATTTATTCACACCATTTCTTTCAGAGTGTTGCTTTCGACATTGTGCTATGTTGGAATAGTGCTTTATTAGTAACTGGAAAAAATATGTATCTCATATTTAAAATGCAATTATTAGTATAAAATGTGAATAGTTCATATTTGTTTCTGATAAAATTGTGTTTATTTGCAATAGAATCATTCCATTTTGTATAAACAATTTTAAATGGAGATGATATAGAAAATAGAAATGGGCTATGTATGAAAGAATATTTTAACTTTTAATCAATAATTCTTCAGGATTATATTTTAAAAAGAAAAATATGACTTGATGTTACATATCTTTTAGTTATACATTGCACTTGTTATATTGCTATTAAAGGGATATTATAGTGACAGGAATACAAAGCTGTATTCCTAGCACCAGGGCCGCCACCAGAAATTTTGGGGTCCCTGACAAAGCAGTAATGTCCATGGTGGTCCAGTGGTATACCTATCTGGTCTGCAGTTACGCCGGGTGCAGAGCTGCAGACCACGTGATAGGTGTCTTGCGAGCTTTGGAAGTGTCAGAGCGTTGCCGTGGCAACACTCTGATCGGCTGAGATCGCACCACTGGCGGAGCTGCAGAATGGAGGTGCAGTGCTTACTCCACATGGGCATAGTGAGTGGAGGGGACACGCACCCGGCGGCATACAGGTTAAGCAACCAGGCCCACCCCTGGTTTCGGGATAGAGCCCGACATGTTATTCTACCCTAAAGCGAGTTTAGGGAGCCTGCTCAGTTTGCCCTTTTTAAAGGGCAAGCACCCCCCTTTCTGCCTCCAGGTTCCCACTGTTTTAAACAGGGCTGGATGAAAATAATATCTGACAAATTAACTAGCAAACCTTTCTTTCTCTTTTAGTTAATACATGGTTGTATCAAAAAATATGCATGCACAGGTGGCTGACTGAAATCAGACAGATAATTTTCATGTAAGTAACTTAACACTCCTGGCACCATAACAACTTATTTGAAGTGAAGTTGTTATGGTGCCTAGAGGTCCCTGGCACTTTCTTACCTGAAGGGGTTAAACCGTTCTCTAATCGTTTAAACCCAAAAGTTGCTCTCCAGCACCAGATCTCCCTTTTACAAACAGCATCTGGATTCTTTAATTGACTTTCAGGAAGCACAGAGTGCCGCCAGGCAAGGGCGCCACTGATTGGCTAGAATAATTGGCAGATCAGTAGCTCTTCATTTGTAAAAAAAAAAAAAGTACATATTGGACTTTTTGCAATTCATATGGAGTTATTATCACATTTAGTCATTGTTTCAGGTATTGCAGTACTAGTTTTGTTAAAAGTAAACTAGATATGATAAGAGCTTTGCTCCTCCACCCTCTGCTGCATGTGGTCCTGTTTGGGAAACTTTCCTCAACAGGAAAATCCTTTTTAGTAATATAAACGTGCTGACTTCACTGCCAGCACATCTCTGACAGAACTTGTTATACTCCCCTTGCAAGCATAAAAAATGCTTGTGACATGGATAGGAAAGCTGTCTTGGGAATGCAGGCCACAGTCCTGATTTAGGCGTGACAGTCCCAATTTCAGGTTCCAGTCCTGCAATACCGATTTAGTTACCTGGTATCCAATATCCAGGTGCACCATAAAACTGAACTCATCCAATGAACGAGCATCAGGATCAACAGCTCTGCAGAAGTCGTATGTTGTAAGCCTACCTGAACGGCAGAACCTGCTCATGGCTGCTGTGCCTGACTGGGACTATTGTAAATGGTTTCTAGATTACTAGGGAATGGCACAAGTGTACTTCTACCATCAAACCCATTCACCCTTTAATGCAAAAGGGTATTTTTTAATTGTTTTTTTAACAATCAAAATAATGCGTATAGCAAGGTTTTAACACAGAAATTAAACAATTTTTACAGCAAGCTACATACATTTTGGATTTTTAAATTTTTTTTTTTTTTAATCAGAGTTAATGAGATTTAAATACGTGAAATTTGTTTACTAAACACTAGTCAGTATTTGGACTTGTATGAAATCTCTCACCTGTATGTTTCCCTAGCAACATTTTACAATACATTATAGTTTTTATACTTTTCTTTATCACATTATGATAGTGTCCTTTAAATGCAACCGGAAACATATTGCTGTTTTTTGGTGAGGTGGCATATGCTCTTATAAAAAAAAAAAAAAGCAATTCATTATATTGTTTAACTAAATAGTGATAAATCTTAAATTCACCTTTCCATGTTTCATAGTAAATAACACAAAAAACCCTGCCTTAAACCTTCTCTTTTGATTTTGGGACAATGTTGAAAGAATTCTTGAATTCCAGATAGTAACACTGTCTGGTTAATAGGATCCTAAGAAAAAAACCCATTGATCTTCAGAACAGAAGTGACTGCAGTTCAAAATTTCCTTCTCCTCGTAAACTTGTGAAAGGAATTTATTGAGCTATGATAATCATCCAAATGCTAGGAGACCTTTTGCACAGCAGCACAACTGACTGCTGTGCAAGATTTTCCCACACCAGAATAAATTTGCAGGAATAGAGTTTTTGTAGACAGTAATTATATACAAACAGCCATTTGGTGTGAATATAGAAGTTACAGACAGAGGTTGAAGAGTGAGGTTAGAGCGATAACAGTTTTAGTGTTTATATGATGTAGTGCAATCAAGTGATTTAAAGTTGTCATGGTGGAAGAAGTTAGTATGTGCAGTGTTTCAGCTTAAAATACTGCACATGCTGAGTTATTTTTATTGTGTAGCGATAATATGATTCTAAGGCACACCAAAATTTGCACATAAAAAAGTGTTTCTTCACGCATAGAAAATACATCAATAGTTTTTGAAAGGGGGCGTGGTTTGGCGCGCAGGCAAGATGGCTGCTTGAGACCTGTGCTCCTAATACCGGGTCCCGTTTAACGTAGCTAACCTACCTGGTCCAGATGGGCCACACACGCAAGTCCTATCCCCACCAGCCACCACGCAGTACTCCAACACCTTCCTGGGCCGGACTGATGGACGAGTTCATGTCCACGCCAGCGGAGCTCGCGAGATCCGCGGACACACACCACGTGGAAGTCTCTTCGGAACCTGACAGCCTGGGACCCTCCGAGCTCAGCGAGACGTCTTCGTCCTACCCCATGTCACAGCTGAGGGCTGACCTGCGCACCATCTCACAGGCAATGTTCACCAAGGCGGACGCAGGGGCTCTGGAGGCCTCCCATAACGGTACCATATGTGCAGAATAGCAGTGATCAGGCAGAATGTCTCTTCCCTCCAGGCCAGGGTGACCACACTAGAGGCTTCAGCCACCACTTCCACCCAGCGACACAAAGCTGCTGAACTAGCAGCCACAAAGCAGGAAAACATGCTGCTGGATGTACGGAGGCAGGTAGAAGACCTGGACAATAGGGGCAGGAGAAGCAATATTTGGATCCATGGCCTACCTGACAGCGTGCAGGGGGAGCCGCTTGAGACCACACTGCAAGCACTCTTCAATTTTATCCTGGGAAATGACGACTGTAACGGATCACCTGGCACCCCGACTGGGTACCTCAGTTGAAGGATGCTCCTAGCGCTTCCTGAGGACTCCAAGCACTCTGGCAGACACCACAATCACTGAATCAGAGAAGCATATATCTTCTCTCAAGCATATGAATGCTATAAACAGCTGAATAGGCAAAAACCATACAGATGGGTTTAGACTCCTAGCAGTCAAACTGGAACAGCATACAATAAATCCTTCCCCAATAATGAGACGACACTTCACTTTGAGGGCTAAGCAGGAACTGACTGAACTGGCACATACAGCCTCTTTTATTCCCAATCCACAAACTTAGTACTGCCCACATGGTTTTACAGAACAACCAATAACACACGTACATTACAGAAAGACACTCCCACACAAAATCCTCCCCTCTGCCTGTGATACAATTACCCTACACAATGGGTAATCTAATTATCACAGATAGAGAAATACAGTTTCATAAAACACATCACAGGGACCCCCAAAACATGCAATAACCCCATAACAAGTATATCCTTGGAACCGGGGGATCTGGGTAAACCACATATCCGAAATTTACCCAGATCCGTTCAGTACTTTGGAAGATACAGTTTAATGCAGATTCTGCAGAACATATACAGGCTAAATGAAAAACAATCACTGTATAATGTGTCCCCTGCTGTATAGTCCAAAACCACTGCACGATGTCTCTGTGCACCAAATAAAATGGCCGCCATCCATTGTTCTCACCATGTGCTTCATCCATTGTTCTCACCATGTGCCTCTGATACAGGAAATGGTGGCCACCAGTAACTCCACAGTATGTCCCCAGATGGTTCTTAAAGGGCCAGCAGCAGCACAACACAAATCCCTTATGCCCAAATCATGTCTTTAAACAGCAATACATCACAGGGGCCATAGTCACATGGCAGGAGGCGGGCAATCAGTCTTCTCTAATGCCCAGTGGCGAGGTCGGTTTCGCCACAACGACGTATAAAAAAAACGTATAATGCGCCAGCTGGCCAGGCCACACCCCACAGATCAGAGGAATGGGAGCGCTGAGTTTCACCTAGGAGCTGTGAACCAAGTTACCAAGTCACAGGTCTGGGGGTTGTTGTTGGTTGGGGGGATGCTTCAGGGAGGAGAGGGTATGTTGGGGACTGCTGCCACACTGGTGACATTCAAGCCTACTTTCCAGACCTATGAATCGGTGCAGTCGTTACACCTATACCCCTATGTGCACGCAATTTAGTGGCTATCCGGGATGCGGGGTCTGGGATGCGGGGTCTGGGAACCTGCCCCAGGGACACTACTAGGGGTCTAGCTACACAACTGTCCTCGTGGGTGGGGTCTCTGGACTTCTAGTTTTGGGTGGTCGGGAGCTCTGGAATGGCAAAGCAGGGTTTGGGGTGGGGGCGGCAGTCCGCCAGCTGAGGGGAGTCTGGGTGCCGATGGGGGTGTCCCTGACGGGGGTGGCACAGGGTGTCTCCCAGGCTGTGTGGGGGTCTGTACCTGGGCTGCAAATATTTCCGCTGGCCCCCTGTGGGGGGGCCTCGGGGTCAACCCCTGGGGCACCTCTAGGGATGAGCCGATGTGACCTGCGTGCCTCATGGGTGGATGCCCGTGGCCCTCTGCCTTGGGGGGATGGTGAGCATGGGAGGGGATGTGCCCTGAGGGGTCAGGCCTTACCTAGACAGGGGTGGAGTGCTGGTACCCTGGGCTCCCCTTCACTCACCTGAACAAGACTGCCCACGGGGAGTACGCCTGACCATGACAGTGCTCATCGGTTATTATTTGAATATTAGTTTCACTTATGCTTTATCCTCCCGCTGCTTCCCCCCCGTATTCCTAATTCCTATTTGCACATAACGCCAAACAGCGGTGCACACTAACTGACAAAGTGGAAAGTTGTACCGCGTTGCAAGTTAATCATTGACAGGAGTGGTGCTAAACTGCGGATGACACGATTCGGACTTTCGGGGTGGGGGCGGGGGCGCCTCTGGGAGTCTAGGTATGCATCACGTGTTGTATAGTAGGACACACAGTTACCCGATATCGTGGTGTCCTCCCCCCCTCCCTGACTCTGGCGGGTGCCCCAACACGGAGCCACCCCAACTTCACTATACCGAACCACATGACACACAGGTGGCCTTGGGTGGGCACATGCTACGCCTTCCAGATACTTCTTGGCAACCCTGAGGCCAACATATAGGGGGGTCTATGTATAACTCACATCCACATCTGATTGATGACATCTGGACCGGGGGTTACACACCGGCTGGGACTACCGGGGTGGGAGACTGAACCGACACGGCTGAAACTAGCACCTGACAATTGGATACGACAAACCGGGTAAGGGGAATAGTCCGAGCGTCTGGCCGTGCATCCCTAGGGGACGCTAACGTGGGAGGAGTGATGAACCTTTGCACGGGCACTGATTGGACTGCCATCCTAATATTGGTGGTCCCCAGTGAACCGGGCAGACACGTGTTGTCCATTGGGCACCTAAAGTGCCTACTACATTTATAAATATTGTACTTTCTTCCCTGCTTCCTCCTTTCAACTGTTTCTTTTCCCCTCTTTGTCTACCCCTCCTCTATCCCTCTTCCTTATTCCAACTCATCTCCACAGGTCTGGAGCATGGCGTCCCTGGCCTTTGCGTCGCTCCCGCTACATGTCCGCATGCTCAACGTGCAGGGCCCTAACGTCCCCGAACACCGCTCCAGATTGCTGAGGGAACTGTGGTCTTTCCGGACGTCTGTTGCAATGATACAGGAGACACACTTCAAGCCGGGATCAGCACCAGCGCTGAAAGACAGGAGGTTCCCTACTGGCTACTTCGCATTACACTCTCGGGGCAAAAAAGCAGGGGTGGCGATACTATTCTCACAAGGGACCCCGTTCGTCCTCATAGATCGTGAGATGGACCCTCAGGGAGGATACCTTTTTGTGAAAGGGCGTATCAACTCACAGCTTTACACTTTCGCCACGATATATGCCCCCAACTACTGCCAACACACATTCATCACAAAGACGCTGCTGGAAAATTTCTCAGAAGGGCTATTGATATTGGGAGGTGACCTCAACGTGTAAGTAGACCCTTCCATGGACACGTCAAGGGGAAGGAGTGCGACTACATATCCGCGTATTAGATGTATCAAAAAAGCCTTGCGGACTTTACACTTAGTAGACTGCTGACAAGCTGACATCCGGAGACAAGGGACTACTCCTATTATTCGGCGGTGCATAGATCATACACTAGAATAGACTACCTCTTTCTCCCCCAAACTTACTTGACCTTACTCCAAGACTCGACCATCGGACACATCACATGGTCTGACCATGCACCGGTGTCACTCCGGATGGCCTCCCCCCTTTTTAAACCAAGGGAACGAACATGGCGCCTGAACGAGTCATTACTGATGGACGACGAAGTCCGGACCACGGCTCGAGAAACCTTGACTAACTACTTCAAGGAAAACATCCATCCAGTTCCAACCCAGCCTGTTCCTCACCCCCTTCTCTCTATCACTAATTTCACTGTGCCTCTCCTTCTCCCCTCTATCTCTTCCTTCACATACGTACAGCCGGAACTTACCTAATGACCCTACCTAATAGGGTACATCCACCTTTTCGATAACTCAATCCATGGCTGACACTCTGATAGTGACAATCCGACCAATGGTACCAGCACGGCATCTCACTCCTCCACATAGTGGGGACTCTATCTCAGGGTGCGTAAACTGGAGGCAAACATACCATGCACGAACGGGTTAGACAGATACATAACGCATATGACATAGGACAGACAATAGGTAGAGAGAACAGACGAGTTGATACCGAAGAAGACAGGCTACCCACATGACCCGCACTACACCGGGACACCTGACACACGCTACAAACAAACACAGGGAAAGGTTGCTGCATCTCTCTTGCAGAGAAAATTTGCCGGTATTTCGGTTGTGAACTGCCCTTATGGGTGGGATCAGTCTGATATGCCTTGGAATAGTTTCTATCTGCAATTGAGCAAAAAATATTTTGAGACCTGAGCAAGATTTTACCGAAAAGCAAGCTATTGAGTTTCTCTAAGCTTTTGTCTGTTCTCAGAGTTATCATATTCTTTTTAAATATTAGATCAGTCTTAATTCTTTTTGCTATGTGCCAATTAATGATGGCATTGTGTTATGGGTAAACATATATATTTTACACAAATCCCCAAACCGTGCTTGGTACAATTATGCACACTTACTGTATTCAGGGACAGAGTAAGAGCTTATTGGACCTGGTGCTTACAATTACGACGGGCCTAATTACAGAATCTTATTGACAGAAAACACTAAAACAGTTAAATCTTCGTCATGTATCTGGTGGAGGTGGTGCTGGAGGGAAACTCACAGGATATAGCTATCAGAAAACACATACTCTATGCTAATCTCTCACATTCATCTCACAAGCAAATCCATACCCTATAACAGCAGTGTCTGGTGAAGCGGGACGTTGGTGGGTGGGGTAAAAGGGTGGGCAACTGACATGAATCGTGTAACCAAGACCGTCCAAAGGGGCAGACATGGGGCTGTAGATTTAATCCAGCCCTGACTTTATCCATCTATATTACAAACAGGTAAGGTAGGTATAGGTGTTAAATGCATGAAAGCAACACCAGCTCATCTATAAACTAGATGCCAATGTACAAAAAGCACTGTGTCGAGCAAGGCAGTATCAGTAGATTTTAAATGCTCTGCAATTCCAGCTGATGTGACATGCAACAAACAAAAACACATATACATAAATACATACACACACAGGTACAAAAGTATCCTATAAAAAAAAATAGAAGAACTAACATCAGACAGCCTCAGTATATGTGAGGTGAATGTGCTGGTTTGTTTGAAAACTCTGACGTATTGAAGTGATTAGTTGAGAAACATCCTTAAGGTGGTTTCCTGGCTTCTGGGCGCCTAGATTTTATTGAGAGCTAAACAATAGAAGTAACTGATAACCACACAAGCACTGATGATATACTAATAGTTAATTTCCTGTTTTTGTTGTGGTTTTTCACAGTTTCAGGAAAATCACCAGCAATATTTGAAAAGACCTTAAGACATTTAAAGAGACAGTAAGACATCAGCCGAATAACAAACTAGTTGGCAATATGAGTGTAGTTATGCACTGAAAAGGGTAAAACCAGTGCAATAAATATGAAGATTGCTTGCAGGTATCCCAGGTGCCAAATCTACCCACATATTTTACAGCTTGGATTTCATTCCCTTAACTAATAGTTATGATATTTGGAGTAATACTTTAAGTTAGCTGCTAATATATAATAATACAATAATTATAATCATTTTATAAACTGTTATCTCTGTGTGGTGCTTAGAGCTGTTTCAATGTCTGCTTTCAGTTTTGCTTTTTAAAAGATCATACAAAGAGCAAATTAAGTTAAATAAATGGGCAGAACGAGGAGTAAATTCTTGATCGACTTATTTCAGTGAGATGAATATTTGAGATTAGGTGAGTCTTATGCCTTTTCGATAGTTTCTAGTTATGTGTTATCTTGGTCTAAATAAAACACAGAGCTCCTAATAAGGAATAGCATGTCTACATGCAGAGCACTTTTGCTGTATAAGCACGATGGGTGCTGATAAATAAGCACTAGGCTTGCTGACCAAGTACAGGGAGATGGAATGCAGCTGGTGGAGAGAATGAGGAACATATGTTATATGATCGAAAATGGGTAAATTGTATTACTTAAGTGTATCATAAGTAGTTAATGAAGATGAAGCTTGAGTACAAAGTATTCACAAAGACATAGGAGAGGACACCTTATATGTTCTGCTTGGATTCACTGTTGCCAGATGAAAATGGACAGAGTTTATCCTAAAATTAGGTTTAAATGGAAATATAAAGACGGCTATCCATGATTTTTCACTCCATTTAGACTTTGTAGTACTAAGATTGCAAGAACCAGTCAACTTAGCTGATCGTTAGAACGTTATGATATATTCACTTAGAGTCATCTCACCAACACAACAGCAGTTTTATCCGATCACATTCAAATAACATTCACCCATTCCATGAGATGTTTTTAGCACTTCTTAAATGACAACTGTATCATTATTTATGATTCACATTAAATATCCAATTACATGACAGCAGCTGATTCTTCAGCCATACTTGAAATTGTTGTATCTTCAATGTAAGTTCAAACAATTACAAACATTCTTGACTGCTTTACTTTGATTGAATTGCGTTTCAAAACGCTGCAAGGCTAATCTTCACAATTATTTGTTGAGAAACAGAAAAAGATATGATTTTGCAAACTCCAGCATGAGCAATTATATACAAAATCTCACGGATATTAAAGAGGAAACACTATACTTGAGACTAAAATATATTGGAGTGTAAACGGTTCATCCAAGATTCTCTTAAACAAACAATAATTTGATACTGTTAATAGCCTAAGGTATTTTTGCATCTCTTTCCTTGTCTTTTCAAAATAGTTGACTTAGCTATGTGTTTTGTAAGTGAAGAACCTTTCGGAAATCCTTCTGAGGTTGGAAAGGTTGGCAGAGAGTGGTGGAAACCCTACAACAAATTGCCTTAACATCTTTCATATTTTAGCCACTGACAACGAGGCACGGTTCAACCTTGTAATTATAGTATACGCCAATGATACTGGAATTTCTGAATATGGAATAAGAGTTTAAAGTTGTGTGGAAAAAACTGTCACAGTCTAAACAATATTCTTGTCACAAGTGCCCACATTTATCTATTGGTGGGCTAAACAAGCATAAAATGTATGGACTGCAGAGTTTGCAAGATCTTTTAAAATAGATGAGTTGGGAAACTGTAACAATACCAAAGTTTTCTCTATTTCCCAAGTCTAATAATATTCACTCAGCTACTGTAGATCTATTTTTAAAATAATAGGGCAGGCCTCCCAATTGTCCTCTTATGCAGGATGGCCCCTATTTCAGTCTACTGTTTCTCTGTCCCGGATTTTTTCCCTGATGTCATACTTTTGAGATACCTGGGAACTGACCCCAAAAAGCTATAGGACAATTCAGGGAGACCTGGAACAGCACTCCCTGCAAGGTCTGTTCTTCATGTCTGTAGTGAGCTTGCGGGTGTTTCAATGAGCTTGTTCATAATGATCTTATATGTGTATATCAGTGAGCTTGTATGTGTGTCAGTGACATTGTCTGTAGTCAGCTGTGTGTGTGCCAGTCAGCTTGTTTATAGTGAGCCTGTTTGTGTCAGTGAGCGTCTCTGTAGTGAGCTTATGTGTAATGATATTGATGTTACAAAGTTTTGGAATCCAATAGCCAGATCAGCAATGTTTTCTGCCAGAGGTAGCCACTCGTTACCCAGGTGGTTGAGCCCCTGAGCCTTGAGTGGCCGTCTGGTCTTAAGCAGAGATTAGAGACTGGAACAGAAAGATGATAATCGTAGTGAGGCAAGCTGAGGTCAGTGGGAAGGAGAAGCAGCAAAAATGGTCCAAATTCAGCAACAGGTAGGAGAAACAGGAATAAGCTTGATTAGAGAGTACAGGAACCACAATAATCTGGCAAAGGTACAGAGACAGGAAGTGGCTTTTATAGGCCAAGAACCAGACACCTGACCAGACACAGCTGAATAGAGTTATCACTGATACCATTGCTTGTAGAGTCAAGGTTATCAGATCTCAGGCAAATTTGCAAAAGGCAGGCTGGTGTACTGGTAAGGAAGAGGTTTAGCAGCATGTAAACCAGGGTGCAAAACCCAGCTGAGTCAGTTCCTCACATTACCCCCACCTCTACAGGTGCAGCCTCTGGATAACCTATTTCCTGGTTTAGCAGGGTACTGTGCGTAGAAAGACTGAAGAAGATTAGGAGCATGAATATTGTCCACTGGTTCCCACGATCTATCCTCCTCACCATAGCCTTTCCAATTAACCAAATATTGAAGCTTGTTGCGGAAGATCCTGGAGTCAAGAATTTTTTCCACCTCGTATTCATCTTCACCATTCACCCTGGCAGGGCTCGACCAGGGAAAGTATTTTCATGAAAAGGCTTAAGCAATGCAACGTGAAACACCGGATGTATTTTCATGGAATCCAGAAGTTGCAGACGGAAGGTGACAGCATTGATCTGAGCGATGATCTCAAAAGATCCCATAAACTTTTGACCCAATTTATGAGAAGGAATCCTAAGCTTGAGATTCTTTGTTGACAGCCAAACCTTGTCACCAACATGATAAACTGGGGCCTCCTTTCTATGCCTATTAGCAGCTTTTTTGTAACATTCCTGAGCTTCCGAAAGAGTCTCCTTCAACAGTTCCTGAGAATCTCGTAAGGCGGTTAGCCGGTCAGTGACTGCAGGAATGGAAGTAGTAATTGGGAGACTCACTATAAAGGTTGGATGGTAACCATAATTGGCAAAAAATGGACTCCGAGAAGTGGAGCAGTGTTGGGCATTGTTATAGGTAAACTCCGCCGTGGGTAGAAAATCCAGCCAGTCATCCTGCAGGTAACTAATATAGCACCGCAAATATTGTTCTAAAGTCTGGTTGGTTCGCTCAGTCTGTCCATTACTTTGTGGATGAAAAGCCGACGACAGATTTACATTAATACCTAGAATAGAACAAAAATATTTCCAAAAATGAGATGTAAACTGCACTCCCCTGTCAGAAATTACTTCATCAGGCACTCCATGCAAGCAAAATATTTCCGAATAACTAGGTCAGCAGTCTGTTTAGCTGAAGGGAGACCACGAGCTGGTATGAAATGACTCATTTTAGTTAACCGGTCCACAACAACAAGAATGGTAGTATGTTCCTTAGAGGGAGGTAGTTCCACAATAAAGTCCATGGATATAGATCCCCAGGGACGATGAGGAATCGGAAGAGGCTGAAGCAAGCCAACAGGGGATGAGTGAGGAGTCTTATGTCTGGCACATACATCACGTAAAACGTCCAGTCGCAATTATTCTGGAACAAACAGACGTTGTTGAAAAATCCTAAACCCATTAAGCATGGTCATATGAAGATCACGAGGAGGCTCACGAAAAACTGGATCTTCAGCATAGCCCTTTTTAATGCGAGACATTAGATCAGAAGGAAAGGTAACTCCTAAAAATCTACTTTCCGGCAAGATGGTGGCCTTGGTTACTGTAGTATGGAGGGGGTCAGCTATCCTAGACAAGGCATCCGGATGCATTGCCATTTCTGGAACCAGGGCAGAATGAAATAAAAAAATTAAAACTTGAGAAAAATAGGGACCAGCATGCTTGTCTGGCTGACAGTCTCTTAGCTGATTGAATACATTCCAGATTTTTGTGATCTGTGAGGGCAGTAATTGGATGGGTGGCTCCCTCCAAGAGATGTCTCCATTCGATGAAGGCAGCTTTTAAAGCCAAAAGTTCTTTATTCCCTATGTCATAATTTCTTTCTGCTGGTAACATCTGGCGGGAATAGAAGGCACATGGATGTAACAACATCTTAGGTCCAGTCCTTTGAGACAGTATAGCCCCAACAGCTGAATCAGAAGCATCTACCTCTACAGTAAATGGCAATTCTGGCTGAGGATATACCAGGATAGGGGCAGATGTAAACAGAGTCTTTAATCTGGAAAATGCAGTGTCAGCCTTATTGAACCACTGAAAAGGAGTCCCTTTACGTGTAAGTTCAGTGATCGGTGTAATAACGGCAGAGGAATTCTTAATGAAATGCCTGTAAAAATTGGCAAACCCCACAAATCTCTGAATATCTTTTATATTCTTGGAGATGGGCCAGTCCAGCACAGCTTTAATTTTACTTGCGTCCATACTTAAACCTTTAGGAATTATAACATACCCCAGGAATTGAATTTCTGTTTTTTAAACTCCCATTTTTCCAGTTTAGTGTATAGGTGGTGGGTACGAAGGCGCTCAAGAACAATGCAGACCTGTTTTCAGTGATTTTCAAGATCAGAAAATATCAGGATATCATCCAAATATGCCACAACAAACTGATCCAGGAGATCCCGTAGTACATCATTGATTAGATGCTGAAAAGTTGCAGGGGCATTACAAAGCCCAAATGGCATTACTAGATATTCGTAATATGTCTGTACCTTGTTCTGAAAGGTGTTTTCCATTCATCATTTGGTCTTATGCGAACCAGATTATATGCCCCCCGTAGATCAAGCTTCGTAAATATTTTAGCTGAGCGAAGTCTCTCCAGAAGTTCAGGAATGAGAGGCAAGGAATAGCGTTTTTTACAGTGATGTTATTAATGTCCCTGTAATCGACACATGGCCGTAGACTGCCATCTTTCTTTTCTCCAAAGAATATAGGAGCTCCTGCTGGAGAAATAGATGGTCGAATAAAGCCTTTGGCAAGATTTTCTTGTATATATTCACAAAGTGCTTTCAATTCAGGCTCAGAAAGGGAGTATAAATGGCCAAATGGGATAGCAGCTCCAGGTAGCAGCTCTATGGGGCAATCATAAGGCCTGTGAGGTGGAAGCTGATCAGCATTCTTCTTATCACAGACATCTGCAAAATCCCGATATTGTAGAGGAAGCTTAGTTAAGTTTGTAGCAACTATTTCATTAATTGTTGTGGCAACAGGTTTTGCCTTAGAGGGTTGGCAATTCATTAAGCAGTGTTCTGAAGGAAAGGACAAAGTTCTAGTCTTCCAATCAATCTGTGGGTTATGCAGAGCAAGCCAGGGTATACCCAAAATCACTGGAAACTGTGTTGAGGAAATTAGGTGGAAAGATATAGACTCATGGTGATTCACTTCCAGAATCAATTTTAAGGGCACAGTCTCATGTGTAACCGGGCCTGACGTAAGTGGAGAACCGTCTACTGTTTCCATTAACACAGGTGAAGATTTAGGGATAGACTGAATTTTATTTCCTGCTGCAAATTTAATGTCCATAAAGTTTCCGCCTGCTCCAGAATCTATCATAGCTGTAGTTGAAATTTTATTATCACCATATTGCAAAGTGATAGGCACCACCAAATGAGCATGAGCCAGAGGAAACCAGGGTTGTGTGACAGAATCCAGTTGGTCTAAAATCTGGGATTGGTGTTGAATCTGAGCACCCTCAGCAGTCATAGCTATTGTTCTTTTAGACTTGCTAGGGCAATTGATGGCATAATGCCCTTCACTACCACAATACAGGCACAAATTGTGAGTGCATCGCTACTGTTTTTCTTCATTGGATAATGGCCCTCTTATTAGATCTACCTGCATAGCCTCAGGTTCAGAGTCTTTAGGTGTTTGTGGGGTCGGAGTAGAAATTCTTGAATAGAAAGTAGGAGTAGCACTTGATTTAAAAGAGCCCTGTCTTTCCAATATTTTTTCTGAAAGTCTCCGATCAATACGGATAGCCAACCGCACAAATGCATCAAACTCAACAGGAAGGTCAACATGAGCTAGCTCATCTTTTATAGCTTCTGAGAGACCCCTTCTGAAGTTGAACCTCTGGGCTGATTGGTTCCAAGTAGTATCAGCAACCCACTGTCTGAATTCAGCAGCATTTTCAGCCACAGAGCGCCTCCCTTGATGTAAATGAAGGAGAGTGGCTTCTGCTGTAGCACAGCGATTTGGTTCATCAAAAACTAGGCACATGGCCTCAAGAAAGTCTTTTAAATTTCCCAAGACTGGTCTGTCCTGTTCCAGAAAAGGGGAGCCCTAGGCCCGGGCTTCATCTTTGAATAGGGAGAAAATAAATCCCACCTTCTCTCTTTCAGATGGAAAACGGTTAGGTAACATCATGGGATGCAAATGGCATTGATTTAGGAAACCCCTACATTTTTTCTGGTAGAGGCAAGCGGGCATCTTGTGCAGGTGTAACAGTAGTAGAAGCAGCAGCCGCAACATCATGTGCCCTGTAGCTGGTAAGCTCACTATGCATTGATCGAACTTCATTCTGCAGTTCAGCTACCTGATCCTGCAGCACTTGAATGGTCTGTGCCTGGGTCACCATAGTTATTGCATTAAAAGCAACCTGCTGGGCCAATGCAGAATCTGATCCGACGGTCTCCAAGAATGGGCCAGATTATTCTGTAATGATATTGATGTTACAAAGTTTTGGAGTCCAGTAGCCAGATCAGCAATGTTTTCTGCCAGAGGTAGCCACTTGTTACCCAGGTGGTTGAGCCACTGGTCTTAAGCAGAGATGAGAGACTGGAACAGAAAGATGATAATAGTAGTGAGGCAAGCCGAGGTCAGTGGGAAGGAGAAGCAGCAAAGTCAAAACGGTCCAAATTCAGCAACAGGTATGAGAAACAGGAACAAGCTTGATTAGAGAGTACAGGAACCACAATAATCTGGCAAAGGTACAGAGACAGGAAGTGGCTTTTATAGGCCAAGAACCAGACACCTGACCAGACACAGCTGAAGAGAGTTGTCACTGATACCATTGCTTGTAGAGTCAAGGTTATCAGGGTTCGAAACCCAGCAGAGTCAGTTCCTCACATTATGTGTGTCAGTCATCTTGTCTTTAGTGAGTTTGTATGTGTCAGTAGGGTTGCCGCTAGAGCCCGGGCAACCTTGGAATTCCAGATGTTGTGGACTACAGCTCCCAGAATTTTATTGCAGCTAAAATGCTGTCAAGGCATCAGGGAGAAATAGTCCTCCACAACTAGATTGCCTAAGGTTGCCTACCTACAGTAAAGGCATGTTTTTGGCCAAAATAAACATTGCTTTTTCTCTAAAACTGCAATATTTTACATTTTATATTTTATTTTAGTCTGAGACAAGGGACTTTAAAATAAAGTGTTTTTTGGTAGTTATATCTAAACCCAAGCAATTTGTAAATTTGTGAACAAGAAGTTGTCATTTATCTTGTTGACCAAAAGCTATTCTAGAACACTTTAGGCCAATAGGATAATAAAAAATGCATCTCTTAACTGAGTTAACTGTATTTGTCAAACATATCTGTGCTCAGATAGAATACTCATTGGTAAGCATGTACTGTAATAAAAATGACTTATTACTAATATTTCTCTTTCTTTCCATTTAAAGCTGGTTGGATCTGCTGTACTTGCTATTGGACTATGGATGCGCTTCAATAGTGAAATAAAAGAATTCAAATTAGAAAAAGATGAGCTAGAATTATTTTTCATGGGTAAGTCAGTGCAAATAAGCATTTTATAAGAATGCAATATATCTGCCAATTATCTGTAAAATGTCAGGACAAAATGTAATTTACAGTGGACACAGCATAGGGACATGTTATTAAATAAAGTTATGTTTTTTAAAACTCTAAGATTTATTCACTAAGGATTGAGCTGATATCGTAGATACAATGTTTTGGCTAGAACAGCCAAGTAAGGAAAAATTCATCTCCAACCAGTGTCAAACGTTTTTGGTTTTTTTTCTCTTAATTTTTGGATGAAATGTTGCAATTCATTTGTAAACTCACCACACTTCTCAGTTTAACCGTTTACAGACATAACAGGAGTTTTCCATCATGCTGGCCTTTCACTTCTGAAGCTGTGTCCTTAAAGTGTTACAGTTCCAGGGATTGTTTACTAAACACCAAATTGTATTGAATTGAAAACCAGTTTGCAAAATTTAAGCAAAAAAGTGCTGAATTAGTACACTATAGTCAGTTTGGTCAAATTAGTCTAAATTTTGCAGTTTGCATTTCAGATTGTGTTATTCACTATAAAGTGAATAATCCCCCCCAGTGAATAAACTGCAAGCTTTTTGTTTTAATTTTGAGCATGCATGCAATGAATCAGGATGTCAGAATAAGATTTATTTTTTAAGAATCCAAAACAGTCAAACTACCACTACTCTTAAGAGGCAGAATTAGCTTTAATATTTAGCATGTGTTAAAACGTGTTCTTTAAATGTGAAATAAAGAGAACCACAGCTGTGACATATGTTATATTTTTCTAATTTTTGGAAAAATGGCCTATACTGCTAGAAAAAGGTGGCAAAGAATTTGATTTGTCATTGAGTAAAAACAGCCTACAACTGCAATGGGCAATGTTGGCAACCCAGATATTTGCTGTCTACATTTACCATGATGAATTTCTCCAAAAATTGAGGTATGAATGCGGGACAGGATGTTAGTGGACCACAAGTGGAGAATTAATGGCATGGTAATGGAGCAGTTCTGCCCGAAACAGACATGTGTTAACCTGGTGTACATATAAGCCGACGTTGCCAGATACACTCAGAGTAGCCCATGCTACTCTTGCATGACCTAAGTTTAGTTTAGTGTGTCTAGCGATGTTACCCCAATGTGAGATTGCTCTAATGAATCCAGGATTTTTGGAATGTACGAGTGACAATCACCTTGCAGTTTACAAATATTTTGGGTGTTAAGACGAACCATCACATACCTGATAGCATAAACACATGGTATTTTATATCTTTTGAAAGACATATTGGAAACAGTGAGCTAAATCTTGTAAATCTTTTTAAGATTGAATAAAATAAAAGATGATTTTTTTTTCCAGATAATAGGCTTTTATATTATAAATAACTGTAGCCCCATTGCCGTCAGCATAAAGTATCAGTAGAAAGGAGATCTCAAGCACACATCGCAAAAAGCAAGCAACTGGACATCAGTGGGCGCCCCAAAGCACCTGTCAGATGGCTCTTCAATTGCTCTCTAAGGGAAACACACCTCTGCTACATTGTCATTCTAACTCACACTGGTATTAAATTGCAAACCTTTGAAGTCTGAATGGCTTCAGTATTCAGACTGCATGAATACAGAATAGATGTAAACCTATTTCTTTGCTGAATTTTTCTATCTGAAAAATAACTCATTCTTATTCATGCTGCTTTTAATTTTTACCTACACCTGATATTTTATACTTGTTACAAAAATAATATAAACACCTATTCTCAGGAAATATCCTCTCCAATTTGGTATTATCTCCTTGCCAGTAACAGCACGCCTGACTTACAGTTGGTAATTAGTGAGGGAGAGAGTACTTTGGAATTGACTGGCATTGAAATGGAAAGACAGGGTAGTGTTTTGCATCAATAGATACATTAGGTTAAATGAGTCTGGCAGCAAGATTCTGGTTTCTGTTTTCTTGATATAGAGAGGAAGCTGACTGAGAAATGTACCATTATGTCATATTTAATTCAGAGGTTGCATTGACTTGACTTCATTCTTTTTCTTCAAATCTATTAATTTTAGCATGCACAAGCAATGCTCTCTATTTCAAATACAAAAGATTTATTTACTAAACAGTCAAATCGGTGACTTGAAAACTGAAATCTATAAAAGGACAAAAAAGCTGAATCCTCAACTCCCCTTTTTTGGCCTAAATGTTGCATATTTGTTTTTCACAAAATAACAATTTCACTGCTTAATAAATGGATTTCCATAGCGTGTGTCTTCTTCTTTTCCAGTTCAACTGAGTGCTAATTTCTCCAAATTAGATATTTTTATTATTATTATTGGCATTTATATAGTGCCAACTTATTCCGCAGCACTTTACAATCTAATATAAAAGGGAGAAATTTGACAATAAATGAGACAATTACAAAATTTTACCGGAGCAATAAGTAGATGAGGACCCTGCTCAGACGAGCTTACAGTCAGACAAGATATCTTAGCAAAATTGTTGCAAGTTGACTTTTTTGGTTTAACCAAAATGCTTCTATGGAAACAGAGGAACTGCATATTTTTCAGTCCCCATTTAATTAAATAAATCTTTTTTTTTTTTTTTTCCACAAAAAAAAAATTAATAGCAACTGTAAGCCAGGAAAGAAAGAAAACAGATACAGAAAGGCCTGAGCTAAATGTGTACTTGTCAACAGGAAAGATCAGCAACACTATTTAGAATTAGTGTGAAATCACTGGTGTTAGTTTACTTTCACCTTTCAGACTGTTAATGACATTAGTACTGTTCTGGCCACATGCATGTTCCGGGGATTAAGGATGGCAGACTCCCCTGGAAAACTAGTTTTATGGAGCCAATGGAAAGTCAGCAAGCCTGTGTGGATGATAGAAACATGCAGAGCGAGCAGTCTATCACATCATCAAACAAAAGGAACAAATGAGTTCTTATTTGCTTGTCAAATCAGTACAGCGCAGAACAGGGTATCTGAAGACGACCACGTCTACAACATCAGGGATTATCTGAGACAGGGCAGATTTATCTATTTATTCAAAGTCCTCCTTCTTCTTCTGTAACTGCTCCCCTAATAGCAACAATACAGTGTAACATGCTATTCTAAGAGTTAAATGTAAACAAATATCTGCATTTTCTTTCAAAGGCCTCGATTTTAGTCTTTATTCACAATTAATTGTGCTGTGTCAGGATATTGGTAATAAAATAAAAACCTGTTAGGTTTTCAGTTGTGTAGTAGTGTATTCCTAAACTTTTGTCCTTTTGGGTGCCATAGGTTCCGACCTGTAGCTAAGCAATGAATTTGCCACACCTCTGTCAATCATCAGAGCTACAATAATTTATTATGTTGCACCTGCTATTTGTTATCATTATATATCTGCTAAGTGTGATGCAATTTATACTTAAGTTTCTGTATAAATTGTTAGTAGCTAATGTAAAAGCCTTAGGGGGACATCATAATCATGACATTATTAGTCATTAGCTCAGCAGAGTGTTTGTAGTTAATTAATTGCTGTATATGCTTAAACACTACCTGTAGTCAAAAATGAATATTTCAGACAAAAGCAATATGTGGTGTAAACCGCGCTGTGACACAAACACAAGCAGTGCAGCTAAATTCCACAGTAAAAAGAAATTAAGAAAAATACAAAGTGCAAAGCGCACTAAAGTGTATAAAAAAACAAAAATAAATTAGACTGTTGTGCACAGTGTATATGTGACTTTAATAAATGTATATACATACACTGATTAGGAACTGTGTTCAATTACGCTGTAAAAGAGAAATTCTCACATAGGGTAATATAGTCTGAATAAAACCCCAAATAAAATCAGCTTAGGTTTTATTGTATCCTACAAACATTTTCAAAAGCCTAAACAAGACTGGCTTGTATATAACGTTTATATGGGTATAATGACTTCTGTAGTGAAACTTCAGTAGTGTGCACCTCTCAGCAACCATAAAATGGAGATAGCAAGCAGCAAATTAGAATGAAAATATATAAATTTATTAGAAACAAAAATGTAATATCCTTGCATATTAAAACATAATAAGCTGATTCATAGTCGTTCAGTCTCTTAGTTCAGCACAAAATGCCTTCATCAGATGCATAATCCTATGTCTTTCTGTTCCTCTTTAAAATTCCAGAAGGTGCCGAAAATCATCCATGACACGCACCCTTGGGTGTGTTGCGCCACTTCTGGTGCTGCGGTGCATGCCTTTCCAAGTTCATTTGGACAAGTCTTACAATCATTATTCTGGGGCACCTTCTGGGCACCATATTTGTGCTCCCGGAAGAACCATACGCATATCCCAGTGTGTTCCGGATCACCCGAAAGTCCTCTTTTGGCCATCTTAAAAACCCTAGACTTCTTGCGGCAGTCCATTCCGCTGGAACTCTTTATCTCTCCTGAAGTATCTCACAAGTTCTTAAAGCATAGAAGCGCCACTGGATATACTTTGGCAGCCATTTTTGATTAGGCAACATCATATATAGTGACGGCAAGAACAGACATGAAATCTAAACATAAATAAAAATAGATTAGAAAAAATATATAGAAGTGCATATACTTAATATGGCCATAAATGTAGTATAGATTCACATCTACATATATCTAATTTAAATTGATAAATACAGAGGGGCGGAGCCTAAACACTTCAGCAGACATACTTCATAAAAGCTCCAGACGACCCAATGTAATAAAATGGACTTTGTGGCGGACCGCCTGGCACCCCGACCGGGTGCCTCCACCTATCACTACTTCCTAGTACCTCTGAGTATTTTCAAGCACACCACCAGACATCAACAGCACCGTTGGCCCACACTTCCAGCATTACAGCTTGGCTGGGGTCTCGCTGTCCTCCACCCACCCTGGACCCTAGACCAGGATACAGCTTCCAGTGGGCAGACCTCTCCTGCTCTGGAGAATGTAGCAGGCTGCTCTTACAAGAGCAAGTGATTATAACCCAGAGGAGTATAGTGATATAGCAATCCCCAGGGTAGATACAGCCGTTTCCCCCAAACATGAGACGAGGCTCTATGTTGAGGGTAAGCAGGAACTCCTTTAATGGCAGCCACAACTGGCCTTTTATGCAAGTCCCCATACAAGGGGCACTCCCCCCTGGACCTGAGAATAAACCACAGTATAAACAAATACACAATTACATTGGCTCTCAGATCCAGGACACTCCCACACATAAACAAACTACCAAACATAGTCATGTTCTTACCCTGGAGCTTGTTTCCCTCATCCAGGCGAATGATTTCACTGAACGCAGGCGATGATGGAAGTCCAGCGGTGTTCAGGAGTTTCTGTATCCGATTTTAATTCCCACAAGATTCATGCCCAAACACCGCTGCCTGTGTTCATGCGAACAAGATTGCCACCACGTCATGGTTGACCGTAGGAACTGCGGCCACCCAGACAAACAATTAGAACACTGCAGTGAGAACCGTTCCAAGGTGTTAATAGGTGTAACAAGCTCCCGGGTGCTCCTTGGTTCGTGCGTCTGTTTGGTTCCTTAACAGGATAGCAAAACGGCCAGAACAAAGTCTTTTATGAGCCTCTTTGCATGGTCCATAGTCCTGAGGCAGGAGGCTGGCAATCAGGCCCCCTCCAAGAACCAGTGGTGAAGTTACTTTCGCCACAGACTTTACCACTAAAAGTCAGCAGTTACAATTCAGAACGCTCCCCATACATCAGAGAACCATGGTCTGCTGCTATTTCCATTGGCTTGGAGCAGAATCACCGGCACTCAGCACTGGTGGACACTGTCGGAACTGAGGCCTATGCTGTTCGACCGGGAGGGAGTCGGCCAATCCCTCTTCTCTTAGACTCTCAGTTGTTTCAGGAGACCACCAGAGTTTCTCCAATCCCCCTCTTACCAGTAACGGTGATCACAGTACCCCTGCTACCCCCAGAAGCTACAATGGGATGTAAGCACAAAAAGCCTTATCACACAAAGAGGCCTGCACTCCCAGACAGTAAACTACCCAGCAGTTACCTATCAAAGCGATGCTTGAGCCTTAGAGTGAGCAATCTCTTAGATGACTCACGGGAGGAGGGGGAATAATGCACATCACCTCCTCCTCCTAGACTATACCATAAAGCAGATTATGACCTGTGACCCTAACAGGTAAACAAATACAAAAAAACAAACAAACCCATAGGACACCAAAGGAGTATTGCACAATTATTATTTTTTTGTTCACATAATGCATTAGTAAACACATAAAAGTAGTAAAGTGCAAACATGCAGAATATTCACCTTATAAGTTAGGCTCAGTGCATATAAGTGCTCAATGCATAAACACAAGTGTAACAACAGGTATACTGACCCAAGCTGGAGACCACAGCGCCCCAACGTTTCACACTACGCCTTCCTCAAGGGGGATCTCAAACTAACTGGGTTATGTTCCCATTTATATAGTCCTATCAAAGTGGATTAAGTGTAAAAAAATAATGAAAAACAGGTGTGGCAGACGTGGGATGTCCCCTGAAGCTAATCTCAACCAGTTCCCTGTGTTTCCGCTAATGAATAAATGTCACATTTTTATGATTTGCAGATATTATTGTACTGCTGTTCTCTGATGTTGCTGTTTGTACATGTATAGACTGAGGGATACAAAGGGGATCACTGAAATGAATCATGACTTTGGATCAGATAGTGGTTGAGAGGCTTACTATGTTGTGAATTTTGGACTATTTCAGTTCATTGTCCTTAGACGATTCTGACTTTGGGTAGCCCTTTCATTCCTTTTCTAGACCGCCCCGGCAGCCGTTGATGTGTACTTATGTTGCGTGATGACATCACACGTTGCAGTTGCATACATAATGATGTCATACGCCAAATGCAGAAATCATAAGCGGAAATACAGGAAACTGGTTGATATCGGCTTCAATGGACATCCTCTTTCTCCCACACCGCTGCCGGTCTGCACTTACTATCACCTGTGAGAGAATTTGTCAGTCGACCATTTGAAGTGTGCAATGGGCTATAGTTTAGAATGCAAATTTGCCTTGAGAATCCATTATACTTATGTTTATTTTCTTATATTATTTGATTTGAGTTGATTGTTGCATTGCAACCAATCTTGAAATATTCTTGACCTGTTTAATCTTTTATGACATATTGGCACAGTTGTGTACAAAACCTAATATACTACAAATTAAAAAAGAAAAAAATTATAAATACATAAAACCATGTTAACTCATTATATAGAATTGAAAATCTCAAAGTCTATATTCAATCCTGTTGGAGATAAGGAATCTAATTCGAAAATCCACCTCAACTCAGTTTTATTAAACTATTTTTATAAAATCACCATCTCTCCACTTTTTTCACATTTTGAATACCAATAAAAATTAGACATTTAGGGTTTCCATTATGATAATGTACAAAGTGGGCAGATACAGAGTGATTCAAGACCTTGATTTTAATATTCCTCATGTTCTTGCAGATTCTGAATTTAAAAGGGTCTAGTGGTCCTGCCTACATATTGCAGGCTACAATCACACGTCAAGTGATAAATTACATTGTTAACATTACAGGTCGTAAATGAGTCAATGTGATACTTTTTGTTAGTGACATTTGACATAAAACTACTACTTTTTTAGTTTTTTAATTGTAGTTTCTTTAGAAGCCTGCGATTGTCCTCAATTGCAAAAACATTTTAATTTAGATCCAAAATGTCGCTGTCTTCTGATTCTTTTAAAATACGGCTAGTGGTTAAAATCTAAAGTTGAACGTTTTTACTTCCCCATATACAATTTTTGGTTTGGTGCCAATAAACTGGCTCAGATCTTCATTTTGTTCCAAAATGTGCCAATGTTTATTAAAAAGAATCTTTTTAAAAAGTCCACAAGAAATATATTTACATATAAAATTCTGAAAACTCTGAAAAGGCAATGTTTACATCAAAAAGCCTACAGGGACTGACTATATTCACCATTACAACTACATTAACCCCTTAAGGACGGAGCCAAATGTACACGTTGTGAACAAAACAAAATGTAAACAAAACCTGGCATTTGCGCTACATGTCTGTCCAACCGTAATTCACCTCTTTCATAGTAAATGCACCCACCCTTATTATATATCATTTTATTCAGGGGAAACAGGGCTTTCATTTAATATCAAATATTTAGCTATGAAACATAATTTAATATGAAAAAAATGGGAGAAAATACGATTTTTTTGATTTTTTTAGTTCTACATGACATTTTAACGGTCAATGTCATAATACTGTTTGCTTTTACTGCAATAAAATACACATATTTGTATTCAGCAAAGTCTCACGTGTAAAACAGTACCCCCTATGTACAGGTTTTATGGCGTTTTGGGAAGTTACAGGGTCAAATATAGCACGTTACATTTGAAATTGAAATTCGCCAGATTGGTTACGTTGCCTTTGAGACTGTATAGTAGCCCAGGAAAGAAATTTACACCCATAATGGCATACCATTTGCAATAGTAGACAACCCAAGGTATTGCAAATGGGGTATGTCCAGTCTTTTAGTAGCCATTTGGTCACAAACACTGGCCAAAGTTAGCGTTAGTATTTGTTTGTGTGAAAAATGCAAAAGCAATTTTGGCCAGTGTTTGTGACTAATGGCTACTAAAAAAAGACTGACATACCCCGTTTGCAACCTTGGGTTGTCTACTATTGCAAATGGTATGCCATCATAGGGGTAATTTTCATTCTTGGGCTACCATAGGGTCTCAAAGGCACGTAACCAATCTGGCGAATTTTAATGTGAAAAAAATGAAACGCAAGCCTTATATTTGACGCTGTAACTTTTGAAAACACCATAAAACCTGTACATGAGGGGTACTGTTGTACTCGGGAGACTTCACTGAACACAAATATTTGTGTTTCAAAACAGTAAAAAGTATCATAGCAATAATATTGTCCGTTTAATGCTGTTTGTGCGTGAAAAATGCAAAAACGTCACTTTTACTGGCGATATCATCGTTGTAATACATTTTACTGTTTTGAAACACTAATATTTGTGTTCAGCGAAGTCTCCCGAGTAGAACAGTACCCCCCATGTACAGGTTTTATGGTGTCTTGGAAAGTTATAGGGTTAAATATAGTGCTAGCAAATTAAATTCCCTTTACTTTCGGCATGGGTTGTCAGGCAGGTCCCGCTAATTGTAATTAATTAAGATACCTAATTATGTAAAAATATTACATAAATATATATGTAGAATATAATATATGTATATATATATCTATATATATATATTTTTTAAATATTTTTATTTATATATAGGTATATATATAGTGATATATACGTATATATTTATGTGTATAAATATATATATTATTTCGTTCTATGTGTATTTTGATATATATATATATATATTAATTTCACAATACAGTTAGAACGAAATAACACACATCTATATATTTTTTAATTATTTATTTTTAATTATTTTTGTAATTTTATTTTTTAACGTATTTACATTTTAATTTTTTTTATAATATATATAAATATATATATAACAATAATTATATATATATTTAATCAGTATCAGTGTACGTGTAATTTGATATTAATATATATATATAATTATATATATATTAATAGTAAAATACACCTAGACGGTGTACATGTGTGTATGTATATGTGTATATATATACTTTGATCATATATATATAATATATATATATGATCTAAGTATATATAATTTTATTTTTTTACACTTTTAACTTATTTTACTTTTATTTTCAGCCAGCAGGGGGACCCCCTGTAATTACAGGCAGCCCCCCTGCTGGCAATACAGAAGCCAGCTATACCCGGCCATGTGATTGTGGGGTCCTCGCTAGGACCCCACTCTCACACGGCCGGGGGGCTTCCTGGAGGACGGTCGTGCCGCGGGGGGCTCCCTGGGAGTCCCCCCCACCGCGATCGCCGGCGTGGGACCGCCGGCGACCGGGTAAGTACAGAAAGACCGGAGGGCGTACTATTACGCCCGGCGGCGTTTAGAGCCGCCTATTAGAGGACGTAATAGTACGCCCTGCGGTCTTAAGGGGTTAAGCTATAGTGTCCCTTTAACTCCTGTCCTTAATCAACCACAATTTTCCCCTTTACTCCTAACCATTAACTCCCCACACGTTATTAATATAATTGTTAAATCCTATTCCTATTCTTACTCAAAACCAAGGTTAGTAGCAAAACAAAGAATGCCAGTATAAACAGCTGGAATAATGAAGCAACATTTCAAAGCTGACATTTCAACAGTGACATTTGGATGCTCCATTTGCATTTTTGTGGCTGTGATTGCAACAAGGAAATTATCCTTGGCAGTACATGCAATTATACCGTGCAGCATATATACATATATTAACCCTATAAGAGCCAAACACAATATTGAAAACAAACAACTGACGTTTCGGTAAATGATTTTTATCAAGATACAAACAACAAACACAAGCAGGACAAATCTGTATCCCCAATGCTACAGTGGCCGTGTACCTATTTGTAGTCAGTATAGTGCCTCTTCTGCTCTCCACCACCCCCAGCGCAGAAAATAAAAAGATTCAGTTAACTTTTTCCAACTTCTCATAGAAGAGCATTAGGGGCCTAATGCACATGAGTGGTGTGCACTGCATGCACATTTATACTTCCCCATAGGATGGCACTATCAGTGTCATGGAAGCTCCTCTAGTAGTTTTCATACTGACAGCCAGTGTTAAGTTTGTCACTAACAATTTCAGTCAAATTTTAGTCGACTAAAATATTTGAGATTTAGTCGACTAAAACTAAAACAATTCAGATGACTAAAATCTGACTAAAACTAAAATGGCTTTTAAGTCAAAAGACTAAAACTCAATTTAGGGCTTGGGAGAGAGACACCTAGAGGGGCTGGGAGAACACAAAGAGACAAAAAGGGAATGGGGACAACACCCCCCCTTCTCCTTCTACTCATATGCCGAGTGCTCCCAGCACGTGTGGAAAAAACTCTGTTGGGAGGAGCTGGCTGCAGGAGGAAACCCTATGGATTACTACAGAGGCGTGCTGCTCAGGGGCTGGTGAAGAAAAAGAGAGAAGAGACACAAGTGAGAGTAAGTTAGAACAGAAATTAAAGTGGATGCTTGAAGAAGAGGTTAATGGTTAATTGAGGCAGAGGCACAGCTATGGAGAAGAGAGGAAGTGTAGTGATGGTGATAAAGTAAGGGGTGACAAAGATAGGTGTGGAGTAAATACTAACATATATATATATATATATATATATATATATATATATATATATATATATATATATATGTGTGTGTGTGTATATAATTAATACAATGTTAAACAAAAATCACCTTGCGCCAGTCAAGCCATAAGATTTGCTTTTCCCACAGAAATCCCATAACTGCAGCGATGTTACAACCGCAAAGGATTCTGGGTGGGCATATGCCAATTAGTTTAACAAAGAATTAAATTTTTGCCTCATTCCATTTTAACCATATACTTGTAGATTCACGAGATTCTATGCTATCCGCGTGCAATGGTCTTTAAAGCGGGCTAGCGGCGGCATAGAAGCATGACCAACGTACTGCAACCTGGAGGTCGCGGTGCCACACTCCGCGCTGATCCTCTTTAGAGGGAGGACTGCCCACGACAGCCAGAGCAGCCTCCCATGGCAAATAAGGCCCGAAGTCTTACATGTGATGGCTCTCAAGAAGCGTCATAACCTATATAACAACTGTGGATCTGCCAGCAGGGGGAATGTCTGAAATGTCAGACAATCCCCCTGCTGGTGGGAAGTATTAAAAAAAGATTAAAATACACATGTTAAAATAAATTAAATGCATTTTTATATATCAGATATTATAGATATATAAGAAATTATAGATATATATATATACGTGTGTGTGTGTGTGTGTAACGTCATACGTAATGTATTCTAATATTAATATAAGTACATATATTAGTATTACACTTATACATCTATATATATTATATATATATATGTATATATACACGTATTAATACAATAATATAATAAAATAAAATATTTAAAAATAAATTATACATATGTAATTTCATTCGAACTGTATTTTGATATATATATCTCTATCTATCTCTCTATCTATATATGTAACAAAATACACTTAGAATGACATTTCATATCTATATATAAAATACAAATAACCGTGTATATATATATATATATATATATATATATATATATATATATATATATATATATATATATATATATATATATATATATATATATATATATATAACATAAATAACTACATAAGTGTACACGTAGACTTTAAATACATATATATGTATATATATTAAATTCCACTTGTATATTTAAGTAATATTTTAATGTAATTATGTGATTTAATTAGTTAAAATTTGATTGAAATGCCTGACAACCCAGGCAAAAAGTGCAGAGAATTTGAATTGCAAGCACTATATTTAACCCTGTAACTTTCCAAGACACCATAAAACCTGTACATGGGGGGGTACTGTTTTACTCGGGAGACTTTGCTGAACACAAATATTAGTGTTTCAAAATGGTAACTTGTATTATAACAATGATATTTTTAGTAAAAGTGATGTTTTTTGCATTTTTCACACATGAATGGCACTTTTACTGACGATATTATTGTTGTAATACAAGTTACCATTTTGAAACACTAATATTTGTGTTCAGCAAAGTCTCCTGAGTACAACAGTACCCCCCATGTACAGGTTTTATGGTGTTTTTGAAAGTTAAAGAGTCAAATATAAGGCTTGCATTTCATTTTTTTCATGTTAAAATTTGCCAGATTGGTTATGTTGCCTTTTGAGACTGTATGGTAACCCAGGAATAAGAATTACCCCCATGATGACATACTATTTGCAAAAGTAGACAACCCATGGTATTGCAAACGGGGTATGTCCAGTCATTTTTAGTGGCCACTTAGTTACAAACACTGGCCAAATACTAGTTTTTTGCTTTTTTCACACAAAAACAAATATGAATTCTAACTTTGGCCAGTGTTTGTGACTAAGTGGCTACTACAGAAGACTGGACATACCCCACTTGCAATACCTTGGGTAGTCTACTTTTGCAAATGGTATGCCATCATGGGGTAAATCTCATTCCTGGGCTACCACACGGTCTCAAAAGTAACATTACTAATCTGGCAAATTTCAATGTGAAAAAACTGAAAAATGGAATGTGCTATATTTGACCCTTTAACTTTCCAAAACACCGTAAAAACTATTAGTGGGGGGTACGATTGTCCTCGTGAGACTTTGCTAAATCCAAATATGTGCTTTTTTTGCAGTAAAAGCTTACAGTATTATGACATTTACAGCTAAAATGTGAGGCGGAACTACAAATGTTTTCAATTTTTTTTAAATATCTCACAGTTTTTTTAATTTTATTCATAATAAATTATGTTTCATATATACATTTTTGATAAGAAATGAAAGCCCTGTTTCTCCTGAACAAAATGATATATAATAAGTGTGGGTGCATATAATATGAAAGAGGTGAATTACGGTTGAACAGACATATAGCGCAAATTCCAGTTTTTGTTTACATTTTGTTTTGATCAGAACGTGTTCTATTGACTCCGTCCTGAAGGGGTTAAACATGGATTCCTTTTCATCTGTGTTTGCTGTATACAACAGCTTGAAACACAATATAGGAAAAGATGCAAAACCAGTGAACCACTCATGGACAGCTGTTTCATTGTTAATGCAACTCATCAGCATGAGGCTGGTTACTGGTTTGCTGGGGAAAAATTGTGATTGAAAACCCCTTCCACCTGAAGTCTGTGGATAATTAATACAATGCTAAACAAAAATCTGCACACCAGTCAAGCCATAAGACTTGCTTTTCCCACAGAAATCCCATAACTGTAGCGGTGTTACAACCGCAAAGGATTCTGGGTGGGCATATGCAAATTAGTTTAACAAAGAATCAAATTTTTGCCTCATTCCATTTTAAATATGGATTCCTTTTAATCTGCGTTTGCTGTATACAACAGCTTGAAACACAATATAGGAAAAGATGTAAAACCAGTGAACCACTCATGGACAGCTGTTTCGTTGTTAATTCAACTCGTCAGCATGAGCTTGGTTACTGGTTTGCTTATTGAGGCTTGGTAGTGCTTGGTATATATACCATCAGTTTCACATAGCCCAGTTCACTGGTTAGTGAACCAGGCTATGTTCACCTTTAGGCAGAGTTTTAATATTTTTTCTGTTTTCTTTATTATTATTTTTTGGTTGTTTTTATTTTTTTATTATTTATTTATTTTTTATTATTATTTGTCTATACTTTTATACTTCTTTGTTTTGATTTTTCTTTTCACCTTTTATTTTTTATTTTGTCCTGGTTCTCCTTTGTTATGATACTAAACTGCTCATTTAGCCTGGGGACATGTATATTATTTTTGGCTACGGGCTGATACACACTTCTGTGTGTCGCCTGTTGCCATGGATGTGCGTCTTGGTCCCGTGCGCATGCGTGATTAGGTTTCTTTTCGTGCATGCGCTCGGACTTTAGATGCTGTATACCCTTTGCGGCCACCGTACTTTTCACGTGGTTTGGGACGTAATCGCGTCTAGTCACGTGGGAGAGGCAGTCCTTTTTCTTTGAAGTGTTTGGTATTTCATTGAATCCCAGGTATAGTTTTGTATGATTAATTGCACTAATTTAGTTTAGTGATAGATTTATTTAAAAGATCTGTGCATAGATAATGGTTTATGTGATTCTGTGTAAAACCTGGACTGCTTGTCTTTCTCTTTTGACTATCCCCCCACTACTGCCTCTGACTCCTGCTTATATTGGACTGAAGGGGAGCTAACCCTGATTCTCCCTTCCCATCTTTTACTAAATGGAATTCCTCTTCTTCTCACATGTATTTCATAGCCAGCCTTATACATCATGCACAGGAAGCCACAACATACACCTCACACATAGCTACAACACTTAGAGACACCCTACACACCTACACAAGACACACACTCACACCACACATTCACCCAACATTTTAATAAATATTCACATCACATAACACTTAAAAAATAACATAGGGGAAGAATTTCATGGTGCACATGTCTATGCGCAACATGTGACAGCTTTACTGGAGTCTGGGAAAATAAGCTGCCCAGACAGACCCAGCAAAGAGTGTTAATACTGGCCAGCCAACCAGACTGGTGAAGAGGCAGGCACGCAGTGTGAATGGGTGATGGCAGACTGGCCAGACTCCATGTGCTGGCTGACGGTGTCCAGTGCACAATGCAGGCAGTTACAGCCATCCCATTAGGTTAGGTAGCACACCGCAAGAGTGCAATGTCTGTGTGCATCAGCACAGAGCTACAGGGAGCTGCGGGACCCCAGAAATCATGATTTCAATACAAATCTAATTGAGTGTGTGAATGTGGCTCTATGTAAGGAATAATTGCCGTCAGGCCGTTGCATTATTAGAAAAAAAAATGCACACCCGAGATGGTAATGCGGTCACAACGCGAAGCGGAGTGGCCGTTACACCTTGGGTGTGCATTATTTTTTTCTAATAATTCAACGGCCTGTCATATTATTCTGCTTATACTACAGTTACCACACCTCGAAACATTGTTCAGATGATGTATTTCAAGACGTTTGTCAAGTTTTTGTCATTAAAACGCTCTTGTATGTAGGACTAATTTCTCACGCAACTGTAATGCGGTCAAGACCTGTCTGGAACTACTTTAGCCGTGCGTCTCCCTGAAAATAATGCACACCTTAGAACGTTCGGCAACCAATAAGATTGAAGCATTCAACGGCCCTGTAGTATAAGTGTGCATAAATGTGTGTATATGAATGTGTAGTATCTTTGGATTAATGCAAATGTCATAAAAAGGGTTAGGGTATATGTGATGAGATATGTGGATCATATGGTTGTGGTGTCACAAAATGGGGGTAGGCAAATAATTTTTTGCCTGGGGTAGCAAAAATCTTTCCACTGGCCCTGACTAAAATCTACTAGAGATTTAGTCCACTAAAACTAAAACAATTCAGATTACTAAAATACGACAAAAACTAAAATGACCTTTTAGTCAAAAGACTATGACTAAATTGAAACCTAAATTGAGATTCCCAAAAATGTAATGTATTGCGGAGCTAAGGGAACAGGGACACTGCACCAAGACTATTCAATTGAGATGAAGGGGTCTGGGTGATTGTAGTGTTCCTTTAAAATGGTGCAATGACACAAAAGAGAGTAACATCAGGATCTAATGCAAAGCTTTGACAGCAAAACACAGTAACACAGAACCAAGAAGAAAAAATAAATAGTGTAAATACTTAAGAGGCTATTATCAATAAATTCTCCAAATGAAAAAGTTACTTGTTCAATACTGCTATTAATGTAGCCAGTACAAGATACAAAACTCACACCAAAGAAACAATGATGTTAGCTGTTCAGTGCCCATAAATTAAAATAGAAATATTTAAAGGTAAAAGTGTGGAGTCTCAAAACAACTTAATCTGACCATTGCCATGTCATGACTAAAAGTATATCATAGAAGTATATCATGAGTAAAATCACCTTTTCAAAGAGAGACAACTGGGGCCTGACCAAAAATTAATAAAAGTTTTTTATTCTCCAAGCTCCTGAAAACCCAGAATCACTTGCACTTCAGTAATTCCTGAGCATGATCACCCTCTCTAGGACAAAGTTAATGGCAATAAGCTGCAAAGAGGGCAGTAAATGACCTACCTCTACAAAGCGTCTGGCTAAGGGTTTTTCTGACATCCCTAAAGGCAGTACTTATCGAGGATCTGTGCACCCTAATTCTCTCATGAAGCGTTGTGTAAGTTTTGTCCACATCAATTAATCCACAGTGACATTGTAGTTTAAAGACCACAAATAAAGTGGTACATGTAATCCTGTGGTGAATCTGAAATTGTTGTCCTCTATGTGGGTGGTTGAAAGTGTGGCCTGGGGTCATGTGGCCACAGGGCACACTCCTTAGAAATCAAAAACATTTATGGGATCTACAGAATGGTGGGCATGTACCAAAATTTCCCTCAGGTTTGGAGGCTGTCTGTAGCTCATAAGTGACGTGTGTTTGAATCCTTCTGGAAGAAGAGGGTCATACCACAGCAACTTCCAATGTAACTACTTCATTAAAGGGTCCAGAAGAAGTACTGAAAGTCTGAATACAGCCAATATGCTTAGTAGCCTTCTTAGTCCTAATTATAGTATCACAAAATCTGTTTTTGGCCATCATTAAAGCTTTGAAAGCTTTCAAGTTCTGACTTGAAATATACTCTCTCCAAAAACGTTTGGATCATTTGGAACAACTGAACCTGACTTCAATCTTCATCAGAATTATTTAGCAAAACTCTCAAATAATGAGATGAAGAAATTCAGAAAGGGACTCTCTCAGTGGCTGGGGAGCTTTCTGTGTGCAGTAGGGTTTTGCAATCTGTTTGTTTTTCTTATTCCTATCAATACAATATATACCCAAAGGTATCACACATAACGAAAATAAACAAGTAAAAAAATTCAATTTCGTTGTAGTGTTGCTTCATAAAGAAGAGTTCAACACCATCGATGGAATTCAGTTCATCAGTCATGGCTAACAGTTTCTCCCCTGTCAGTGCCAAATTAAAAACGCATCATTGATGAATTTTAAATTGAGCAAAATGTTTTGTGAGAATTTAGACAAGGCTGACCAACGTTAGGTACATAAAGGCAGTAGTGGAAGTTTCTGTGAGTTGAGCATAGAAGTAATCCTCAAACATAAAATAATTAAAGGGATACATCAAACACCTAAAGGAACACTATAGTCACAAAACAACTTTAGCTTAATGAATCAGTTTTGGTGTACAGATCATGCCCCTGAAGTCTCACTGCTTAATTCTCTGACAATTAGGAGTTAAATCACACTGTTTATGTAGCCCTAGTCACACCTCTATGCACATGACTTACACAGCCTTCCTAAACACTTCCTGTATATAGTCATCTAATGTTTACACTTACTTTATTACAAACTCTGTTTAATTTAGAATTTCTTATCTCCTGCTCTGTTAATAGTGTGCTAGAGCGTGAAGGAGCCTCCTGGGTATAATTAAAGTTAAATTCAGAAAGCAGGAGATACAAACTTTTAAAGTAAGTAACAGCTGACTGAAAGTGAAAATTATTTTGTCTTGCAGACTGTGTCAGTCATTGCCAGGAGAGGCAAGGGCTGCATGGACAGAAACAAAAGTGATTTAACTCCCAAGATTGCAGATAATCGTAAAGTGAGACTGCAGAGGCATGATCTATACACCAAAACTGCTTCATTAAGCTAAAGTGGTTTTGGGTACTATAGTGTCCCTTTAAACCTTGCTTTATCCACTAGCCATTATTTATTTTTATTTTTTTTGGTTTGTATGTGGCCAGTGGAGTTTCCATTTAAACATTAAGCATCCTCAATGATCCTCATATATGCACTGACTGGACTGTGATATAGGTTAAATTGTAAGTTGTCTCAGCGGCCAATTGTTGTAAAATATCAGTCCTGTAAGGACAACTTCCCTGCCTTTATCAGTGGGGCGAACAATGAATGATCCTGTTCAAAACTTTGGAGTGCCATCCTTTCACTTTTAGTGAAGTTTGAATCGGAGATCACATGTTGGCCCAGTATCGTAAATGATTCATTTCTGAGTTGGGTAGAAAAAGTCTGGAGGCGGGAGGGTTAACTGCACTTAATAGCCAGGAGTTATTGTTAGCTCTAGTGTTATGAGTGGATAGTCGTAAAATTCTAGAAAACTTTAATCTAATCGAAAACAGCCAAGTTGTGACTACAGCTGAATTGGAGAATGTTTCTAAATACATTTTGCAATTCAGTTTTCAATCACAGTTTAATAAAAACAAACATAATGTTACTAAAATGTCACCAACAGGAATGTGTAATATGCCACAACATATGAACACCTTATATGGTCCAGGTGTAGATTTTACGGATACCTTTTCTGGATAATATTTTAAAACATTCAGTTTGTCTACTTCTTTCTGGAACTTAGAGGGTAAAACATTAAATAATAAAGCAGTGTTTATTGGTCATTATATATTCTAAAAGATACTGCGTATCAACTAGTAGCACTGTATCTTGCAAAGCAAATTTGCACAGAACAAGTCAGCTTGATGTTAAAATACCCACAAGGGATCCAAATGAAGTGTCTAAGCTCTGTATAATTTCCTATGCTGCATCCAACGCTTTGGCAGTTAGTAGACATTAAATGGAACATATAACAGTTCATTATAGAGAGGTTACTGTAGTTAATCATCATAACATTCTTATGAGATTCCTTCTGTGTACCCGGTGGGTGCAGTGTCCCGAGGAATATAAAGTCTGAACCAGTAACCAGCAGGGAAATATCTGCTTTTATAATAATGACATACCAGATAGGGCATGTGATTTAATCTATTTTGCAGGCATCTCTTTTAGAATCTTTTTATATTCATCCAGATGGTACAGAGCTCTCTGCCACTGCCTGCGCTAGGAAGTACAAAATAAACAGTAAAACACCAGTGCCGAAATATTTGAGGAATTTAATGTGTTTTGGTGCAAGCAACTGTCACTATGCAAGTTTAAAGCAGATCTAGGATATATCTAAGATATATGTTTGTACAGGCACCATTGTATGTGTTTATTTTTGTGCATTAAGGGAAATGCACACATTTAAATAATTCATAGAAAACTGCTTGCATCCCTGTCAACTGTACTGGATATAGTGAATCGGTTATGATTTTGGGCTTCTTAATGTGGTTGTGGCCTGCAATAATCCATTACTTGTAGTATATTGCAGTTCTCAGCTGGAGTGGTAGATCCAAACGAGAAACTCTTGTAGACATGTCTACCTCCCTGCTACTCCAGTGGGGAATTCTCCAGTTATGGTTCTGTCCCCTTCATAGTTAGTTGAACTTTGTGGAGCTGTACACGTTGGGAGAATGTAGTCTACCTATAAAAGTGCTCACTTCTCTGGGGGACAAATGAGTAGACCTGGAGAACAATACGATGACAACAACAAGAACCAAGTAACACATATTGTTAAACAATATATCTTTTATCAACACCAGCTCAGTTTGAATTGGAACCAGAAACTTTTGGGATATGCTGAAGGTCATATCTAAGTAGATATAGAGGTAGAAATACCATGCGTGGAAATCTATTTTAGATTTTTTTTTTTCTTTTGAGGATATCTGTTTTTCAACCTATGTTTAAGTGTTTTTTTTCTTCTGCTTCATTTTTAAATTTACTCCAGATTGAAGAAATGAAAAAAAGAATTTAGAGACCAGCGGTTCTGGATATAAATCAAGTTTATGTAAAATAAATAAATCATGTATTCATCTTTTGAAGATCTTTGGCTTGGAACTATTGCATTTATTGTATCTGGAACCAGTATGTTTAATTTTAGAATGTTCTCAATGACAGTTATTATGAGTCTCTATAGGACTTTGTCTTTTTCACTACCTAAACCAAAGACTTATTATGCAGATTTTAAAATATGTTTTGGAATGCCATTTCTGATCGAGACTGTCAGATTCCCCAGTTTTACGAGTAACATAATCAGTGCCCCAATTTCTGACATATCTCCCCAATGTGCTAGACAGTGCTTAGTTTAGGATGTTTATTTAATATAGTTATAGATAAGACTCCAAACACTTTTTCATGAGCCACAGCAAGCGTGACTTGTCCAATAATCTTAACAATACACACATGCTTGAACTGCACCCTAAAGTAGGGATAGCTACGCTTCGCACCCCAAATTTACAAAACAATATTTCTTGCGATGTTCAGCCAACGTAATGCAGGCAGTGTTGAGCAATACACCTCTGATTGCTCCCATGAAACCTTCCCATTTAATGCTCCACAACTGGCTGGCAAAGACTCATGGGAGTTGTATTTTGGCAACATTTGGATGTCTGGTATATAGTGAGTTATTTTATTGCTCCATTATATGATACAGAACACTGCAGTGTCTTGAGTGGATCGCAATATGCTGAATGTTCCACATTCTATTAGGCTAGCACAGTAAAAAATCTCGTTCCAGGTGAAAGAATAAGGGCTCTTTTCATTCACCATACCACACAGAATACTCTTTATCCCTTTTATGCTAGTTGCTGTTTGTAACTCCAAGGGACGTGGTCATACTTTCCATCTGTACATGCAGTGTGAGCAGCTCCGTAAAAAACAAGAAATACCCTTTTTCTACAGACCAGGAAATGGGGTTCTAATTACTTTGCAGGCTGAATGGACTCAGTGTCGGTTTTCTGTGAATTGCACAGAGCCCTAATCCACATGGTTTGTTGCATATAGAGATTTTATGACAGAATATTTTATAGCCAGTGGTCAAGTCCTGGGCAGCTTACATAATAAATATTTTGTAAACAGGATCATTGGGAAATTCATGTATAAACAGACTGCAGTTTAAATATGCAATGCTTACATAAAAAGAGGAAAACAAGTTTATTTACATATGCACACAAACACACACTTTTTATTTTATATTTTTGTGGTTAGATTGATCTAAAATATAAAAGGTGTGTGTGTGTGTATATATATATATATATATATATATATATATATATATATATATATATATATATATATATATATATATATATATATATATATATTTTTGGATGATTTTATTCAAAATTGAATTTAATTGTTTACATTTTTTATTCTTTATTTGTGAATGATCAATCAGGTGGAGTGACATGTATTATACATTGCATTTTGTACAACAGGCGTTTATGAAATACAACATGTGTCAATATAATATACTGCACAGTGTTACATTTGCTGTGTAGAAACAGTTGACATGTGTTGCACGCAGGCAACATGCTCTTTTGTATCACCGTGTTGTGCTACCGTCCCTTCGCCCCAAATCCCTAGTTCACATTTCTTTTTTTGATTTTTTTTTTTTTTTTTAAATAAACTTTCCTATTTTCTAGTTAGGCCTCAGACAGTGGGTGGTCTATAAAAAAGCATAATGTGGTCTTAACATCGCATTACTACATGACGGTGCTCCGATCTGCTACTGTTCTATTAGAAGTTGAGTCTTGTTTGGGCTCTCGGCATCTCAATACGGCGCTGCAGTTAGCATTAGAAGATGGTTAAGAAATCTTAATGTGATATACACATGCTCGTATGCGCTAGAGTGTGTCGCAAATTTAAGTGCGTAAGAGTAGGCAGTGCCCTAGAGGTCAACAAATTAGGCATTATCTTTCAGTTTGAGGAGTACCGTGTCTATGGGAGGTAACGTGGATCGAAGCCAGGTTTGTGCTAAAGCTTGTCTCCCTGCCAGTGTAATTTTATGAAGTAGTGCTTGTTCTGCTTTAGTCTAGCCATCTATTGTTCTAGAGCAGGGATAGGCAACCTTTGGCAGTGTTTTGAACTCCATCCCCCATTATGGTCTTGCACCCGTAATGCTGGAAAAGCATCGTGAGCGATGTAGTCCAAAATATCTGGAGTGCCGAAGGTTGCCTATGCCTCGTCTAGAGAGTAAAAACACCCAGGGATCTGTTGTTTGTGTAGGATTTGGGAGTATGTGCCACATAGTCTCCAACAGAGATCCGTTGGGGTCTTGTTTATATGGTATAGTTTAACAGGAGTGGTATACCAACGGATAATTGTTTACCTTTTTATGGGACAAAAGAAAGCTACTTCCCACCTACACATTATTAACCCCTCACACAGTTTATTTTTATTATATTCATGTTTTGTTTTTGTTTGTTTGTGTTTTCTTTAACTATTTACATATATCCATTTGGGACATGCATTTCAAATGATTCTGAGCTCATTTGTTGCCATTCAAGCTGAATCTCAATCTGAAAATTTGCATCCAAAATGCTCTGATATATTCCAATTTATTTTCTCAGAATGTATTATTGTTTAATACAATGTGTGCAGAATTGCAATGGAATTTCAAACTATAAGCCAAATAGCTGAATTGGAAAAATTCTCTATTTTTAGTTTGGTTATTTTGGACTATAATTTGCAATTCCTTTGTAAATTTTTAACAATTCTTAGTTTAGTGGATATCCCTGTAAATATTGTAAATATGAACTATATTACTCCTGGGATCACAAAAATAGTAGTAAATGTAGTAGTAAATGTTTTACAATAATTTGAATTGTTGAAATATGTTTATGAAAACTGGTCTCTCTCCAGGCAGCACACAGTAGTAGTCGCATGCAGGACTTAAAATTTCGACTTGCCCTCTAGCCATTAGCAAGTGAAAAATCAAGCACTCAGGAACAAAAGTTTAACCCTGCTGAGCGTGCATGCCTTCTCCCCCAGGTCACAGTGAGCCTATGAGCATGCACCCACATGTGCGCATGTTCTACATAACTCATAACTCTGCGTCCTCCTTGGCTCACCATGCTCAAATTCAGAGGCTTCTCAATGAGAAGCTTTTGATTGGCCATTTCCCTGGCACAGGCTGAAAGAGAGCTGCATTGGGAAGTTTGTGATTGGACCGCCACTGAAAGTCTGTGTCTGTGAAAAGGGGAGGGTATGCAAAGGCTGCAGATAAAAGTTTTTTTTAACATAATATTATTAATATGTTTGAAAAACAAAAACAAACAAAAAACAGCTTGAACCCTTTTTCAACAGACTATTTTATGCATGCGCTAATATTGAATGCCTAAAGCAAGCTTCACTTTTCGTGGTAAACCACTATGAATAATTTATTTTTAAAGAACTTATTATAACACCAACATATTAAAAACACAGGGTGCAGCAGAACCGATTAATCGGTTTTGAGGGGTTATAAAAAAATTAACTGAGGTGTATAGAAAAACACTGTTTTTATTTTCGAATTCCGCATTAAATACCATTTTATATTCCTTAAGTTTGAAAATAATGTCTTCGAGAAGGCGGCCATTAGCAGCAACACACTGTTGGAGACGATCTCTGAAGTTTTGTACAGCTCGTTCACACATATTCACACACGCTTTAACTTCTTCGATAATCTGCTCCCTTAGCTCTGGTAGGGTGATGTTTGAACACTTTTTCCTTCAGATATCCCCAAAGAAAAAAAATGCAAATGCTCAAATCTGGTGACTGCGCCCGCCACCGGCCACCTCACAGAGAGACCAGACGTCCGGGAAGCATTTCTTTTAAAACATTGTGTGAATTTCGGGCTGTGTGGGCAGTAGCCCCATACTGTTGGAACCAGACCTCTCCCAATTCCTCTTTAACAATCTCTTCCATTCTGGTCTGCAGAACATAGACACTCACTGACAGACACATATACACTAGCTATGAATACCAATCAAAGGTTACCTCCTTTTACAGAGGAGTGTGTATAACAGGGTGCTTTAGACAAAAAGGGGATTTACAGGCTGCTCAGTACACTTATGTGGAAATATCCTCTATTCTACAAGACAGAATTAAAATTATAGGTGTGGTTTAAGTAACAAAAAGACTTATACCAGTAAGTGGAGCGCTCCAACACATATACAGCTTACCAAATGGTATTTCATTCAATGGTAGAGTATAGGGTGCATGTTAAGAAAAAAATACAAGGAATACAATATAGTGCAGACGTTATTAAAATAATAATGTAGTTGTAGTAATGATATCTGGATAAATTGAACACTCACATTTCAAGGAGCCTGTATGTGAGAACACTGGCTCCGTATTTTGGCTTATGTGCTTATTAGGGTAGCACCGCCCGTCTCCTTCGGTATGGGGTAGTTCTCAAAGACAAAAACAGGAAGAGCAAACCAATGTGTAGAAAGTGCTTGATGGAAACACAATATTATGAAAATAAGTGGTGTGCTCACCTGTACCTGAGCCTGTGGGTCCCGGCTCTAGGTGTATGGGTATTGTGTCAATTTGAATGGGGATGGCACTGCCCCTGGGAAGATTCTCTTGAGGTTTCCAAAGAAGGACTTAAGAAGGATCTTGAGTAAAAAATAATGAATTTATTCAAGAGTAAAACAAATAAAAACAATTATAATGGAAAGTCCTTAAAAAAGTCCTCTTAAAAATAGCCAATACGCGTTTCACTCCTTCTGTGGAGCTTCCTCAGTCAGCTGTGATGTTAGTCCTCTGAATCTTCCATTTTAAATGTTTTTTAGGGTCCTCCCCTTTAATGGGTTCAGTCCATTTTGTCCAATCATGATAAAGGTTGCATATCCTTCATGGAATAAATTTTGTGTATGTCCCTTTAATTGGATTGAGTTTCTGGCGCCTTTATTGTCTCTCAATCTCAGTGGTGGATCGTGGTTGGTTGGCGGAAGTAGTCCGCATGTATCCGGGCGGTTGGCGGACCCACGTGATCG